CTGCCCTGTCCTGTCCTGCCCTGTCCTGTCCTGCCCTGTCCTGTCCTGCCCTGTCCTGTCCTGCCCTGTCCTGTCCTGTCCTGCCCTGTCCTGTCCTGCCCTGTCCTGTCCTGCCCTGTCCTGTCCTGCCCTGTCCTGTCCTGCCCTGTCCTGTCCTGCCCTGTCCTGTCCTGCCCTGTCCTGTCCTGCCTGTCCTGTCCTGCCCTGTCCTGTCCTGCCCTGTCCTGTCCTGCCCTGTCCTGTCCTGCCCTGTCCTGTCCTGCCCTGTCCTGTCCTGCCCTGTCCTGTCCTGCCCTGTCCTGTCCTGCCTGTCCTGTCTGCCCTGTCCTGTCCTGCCCTGTCCTGTCCTGCCCTGTCCTGTCCTGCCCTGTCCTGTCCTGTCCTGCCCTGTCCTGTCCTGCCCTGTCCTGTCCTGCCCTGTCCTGTCCTGCCCTGTCCTGTCCTGCCCTGTCCTGTCCTGTCCTGCCCTGTCCTGTCCTGCCCTGTCCTGTCCTGCCCTGTCCTGTCCTGCCCTGTCCTGTCCTGCCCCTGTCCTGTCCTGCCCTGTCCTGTCCTGCCCTGTCCTGTCCTGCCCTGTCCTGTCCTGCCCTGTCCTGTCCTGCCCTGTCCTGTCCTGCCCTGTCCTGTCCTGTCCTGCCCTGTCCTGTCCTGCCCTGTCCTGTCCTGCCCTGTCCTGTCCTGCCCTGTCCTGTCCTGCCCTGTCCTGTCCTGCCCTGTCCTGTCCTGCCCTGTCCTGTCCTGCCCTGTCCTGTCCTGTCCTGCCCTGTCCTGTCCTGCCCTGTCCTGTCCTGCCCTGTCCTGCCCTGTCCTGTCCTGCCCTGTCCTGTCCTGCCTGTCCTGTCCTGCCCTGTCCTGTCCTGCCCTGTCCTGTCCGCCCTGTCCTGCCTGCCCTGTCCTGTCCTGTCCTGCCCTGTCCTGTCCTGCCCTGTCCTGTCCTGCCCTGTCCTGTCCTGCCCTGTCCTGTCCTGCCCTGTCCTGTCCTGCCCTGTCCTGTCCTGCCCTGTCCTGTCCTGCCCTGTCCTGTCCTGCCCTGTCCTGTCCTGCCCTGTCCTGTCCTGCCCTGTCCTGTCCTGTCCTGCCCTGTCCTGTCCTGCCCTGCCTGCCCTGTCCTGCCCTGCCCTGTCCTGCCCTGCCCTGTCCTGTCCTGTCCTGCCCTGTCCTGCCCTGCCCTGTCCTGCCCTGCCCTGTCCCTGTCCTGTCCTGCCCTGTCCTGTCCTGCCCTGTCCTGTCCTGCCCTGCCCTGCCCTGTCCTGTCCTGTCCTGTCCTGCCCTGTCCTGCCCTGCCCTGCCCTGTCCTGCCCTGCCCTGTCCTGCCCTGCCCTGTCCTGTCCTGTCCTGCCCTGTCCTGCCCTGCCCTGTCCTGTCCTGTCCTGCCCTGTCCTGCCCTGCCCTGTCCTGCCCTGCCCTGTCCTGTCCTGTCCTGCCCTGTCCTGTCCTGCCCTGTCCTGTCCTGCCCTGTCCTGTCCTGCCCTGTCCTGTCCTGCCCTGTCCTGTCCTGCCCTGTCCTGTCCTGCCCTGTCCTGTCCTGCCCTGTCCTGTCCTGCCCTGTCCTGTCCTGCCCTGTCCTGTCCTGTCCTGCCCTGTCCTGTCCTGCCCTGTCCTGTCCTGCCCTGTCCTGTCCTGCCCTGTCCTGTCCTGCCCTGTCCTGTCCTGCCCTGTCCTGTCCTGCCCTGTCCTGTCCTGCCCTGTCCTGTCCTGCCCTGTCCTGTCCTGCCCTGTCCTGTCCTGCCCTGTCCTGTCCTGCCCTGTCCTGTCCTGCCCTGTCCTGCCCTGTCCTGTCCTGCCCTGTCCTGTCCTGCCCTGTCCTGTCCTGCCCTGTCCTGTCCTGCCCTGTCCTGTCCTGCCCTGTCCTGTCCTGCCCTGTCCTGTCCTGCCCTGTCCTGTCCTGCCCTGTCCTGTCCTGTCCTGCCCTGTCCTGTCCTGCCCTGTCCTGTCCTGCCCTGTCCTGTCCTGCCCTGTCCTGTCCTGCCCTGTCCTGTCCTGCCTGTCCTGTCCTGCCCTGTCCTGTCCTGCCCTGTCCTGTCCTGCCCTGTCCTGTCCTGCCCTGTCCTGTCCTGCCCTGTCCTGTCCTGCCCTGTCCTGTCCTGTCCTGCCCTGTCCTGTCCTGCCCTGTCCTGTCCTGCCCTGTCCTGTCCTGCCCTGTCCTGTCCTGCCCTGTCCTGTCCTGCCCTGTCCTGTCCTGCCCTGTCCTGTCCTGTCCTGCCCTGTCCTGTCCTGCCCTGTCCTGTCCTGCCCTGTCCTGTCCTGCCCTGTCCTGTCCTGCCCTGTCCTGTCCTGCCCTGTCCTGTCCTGCCCTGTCCTGTCCTGCCCTGTCCTGTCCTGCCCTGTCCTGTCCTGTCCTGTCCTGTCCTGTCCTGTCCCTGTCCTGCCCTGTCCTGTCCTGCCCTGTCCTGTCCTGCCCTGTCCTGTCCTGTCCTGCCCTGTCCTGTCCTGCCCTGTCCTGTCCTGCCCTGTCCTGTCCTGCCCTGTCCTGTCCTGCCCTGTCCTGTCCTGCCCTGTCCTGTCCTGCCCTGTCCTGTCCTGCCCTGTCCTGTCCTGCCCTGTCCTGTCCTGCCCTGTCCTGTCCTGCCCTGTCCTGTCCTGCCTGTCCTGTCCTGTCCTGTCCTGCCCTGTCCTGTCCTGCCCTGTCCTGTCCTGCCCTGTCCTGTCCTGCCCTGTCCTGTCCTGCCCTGTCCTGTCCTGCCCTGTCCTGTCCTGCCCTGTCCTGTCCTGTCCTGCCCTGTCCTGTCCTGCCCTGTCCTGTCCTGCCCTGTCCTGTCCTGCCCTGTCCTGTCCTGCCCTGTCCTGTCCTGCCCTGTCCTGTCCTGCCCTGTCCTGTCCTGTCCTGCCCTGTCCTGTCCTGCCCTGTCCTGTCCTGCCCTGTCCTGTCCTGCCCTGTCCTGTCCTGCCCTGTCCTGTCCTGCCCTGTCCTGTCCTGCCCTGTCCTGTCCTGCCCTGTCCTGTCCTGTCCTGTCCTGCCCTGTCCTGCCTGCCCTGTCCTGCCTGCTCCTGTCCTGTCCTGCCCTGTCCTGTCCTGCCCTGTCCTGTCCTGCCCTGTCCTGTCCTGCCCTGTCCTGTCCTGCCCTGTCCTGTCCTGCCCTGTCCTGTCCTGCCCTGTCCTGTCCTGCCCTGTCCTGTCCTGCCCTGTCCTGTCCTGCCCTGTCCTGTCCTGCCCTGTCCTGTCCTGTCCTGCCCTGTCCTGTCCTGCCCTGCCCTGCCCTGTCCTGCCCTGCCCTGTCCTGCCCTGCCCTGTCCTGTCCTGTCCTGCCCTGTCCTGCCCTGCCCTGTCCTGCCCTGCCCTGTCCTGTCCTGTCCTGCCCTGTCCTGTCCTGCCCTGTCCTGTCCTGCCCTGCCCTGCCCTGTCCTGTCCTGTCCTGTCCTGTCCTGTCCTGTCCTGCCCTGCCCTGCCCTGTCCTGCCCTGCCCTGTCCTGCCCTGCCCTGTCCTGTCCTGTCCTGCCCTGTCCTGCCCTGCCCTGTCCTGTCCTGTCCTGCCCTGTCCTGCCCTGCCCTGTCCTGCCCTGCCCTGTCCTGTCCTGTCCTGCCCTGTCCTGTCCTGCCCTGTCCTGTCCTGCCCTGTCCTGTCCTGCCCTGTCCTGTCCTGCCCTGTCCTGTCCTGCCCTGTCCTGTCCTGCCCTGTCCTGTCCTGCCCTGTCCTGTCCTGCCCTGTCCTGTCCTGCCCTGTCCTGTCCTGTCCTGCCCTGTCCTGTCCTGCCCTGTCCTGTCCTGCCCTGTCCTGTCCTGTCCTGCCCTGTCCTGTCCTGCCCTGTCCTGTCCTGCCCTGTCCTGTCCTGCCCTGTCCTGTCCTGCCCTGTCCTGTCCTGCCCTGTCCTGTCCTGCCCTGTCCTGTCCTGCCCTGTCCTGTCCTGCCCTGTCCTGTCCTGTCCTGCCCTGTCCTGTCCTGCCCTGTCCTGTCCTGCCCTGTCCTGTCCTGCCCTGTCCTGTCCTGCCCTGTCCTGTCCTGCCCTGTCCTGTCCTGCCCTGTCCTGTCCTGCCCTGTCCTGTCCTGCCCTGTCCTGTCCTGCCCTGTCCTGTCCTGCCCTGTCCTGTCCTGCCCTGTCCTGTCCTGTCCTGCCCTGTCCTGTCCTGTCCTGCCCTGTCCTGTCCTGCCCTGTCCTGTCCTGCCCTGTCCTGTCCTGCCCTGTCCTGTCCTGCCCTGTCCTGTCCTGCCCTGTCCTGTCCTGCCCTGTCCTGTCCTGTCCTGCCCTGTCCTGTCCTGCCCTGTCCTGTCCTGCCCTGTCCTGTCCTGCCCTGTCCTGTCCTGCCCTGTCCTGTCCTGCCCTGTCCTGTCCTGCCCTGTCCTGTCCTGCCCTGTCCTGTCCTGCCCTGTCCTGTCCTGCCCTGTCCTGTCCTGTCCTGCCCTGTCCTGTCCTGCCCTGTCCTGTCCTGTCCTGCCCTGTCCTGTCCTGTCCTGTCCTGTCCTGTCCTGTCCTGTCCTGTCCTGCCCTGCCCTGTCCTGCCGAACCTCAGGACGAACCTCATGCCTCGAGTCATGCCATGCCATGGCAGGGAGAGTTTGGTGATGCACAAGGGAGGGGTACGGAGAAAGGAGCTGGTGGTGGTGGGCGGAAGGGGGGGTTGGGAGTGAGGCGTGCGGGGAGGAAAGGCGGGGAGAGGGGAGGAGGGGGAGGAGAAGCGGGGGGGGGATTGTGGGGAAGGTGTTGGCTGCGGCAGATAGGTGAGATGAGATGGGATGGAAGATGGGGGATGGGTGAGATGGGTATGGGTCACATGGGAGGGGGTGAGATGGGTATAAGTCACATGGGAGGGGGTGAGATGGGTATAAGTCACATGGGAGGGGGTGAGATGGGTATAAGTCACATGGGAGGGGGTGAGATGGGTATGGGTCACATGGGAGGGGGTGAGATGGGTATGGGTGAAGAGTGGTGAGGGAAGAGGGGGAACTAGCCACATGGAGGGGGTAGTTGTTGGTCTTTCTCAGCCAATCCTTCCCCGTGCGCATGATACACGTGGGTGGCAGAGGTACGGATTTATTTTTGAAGCACCACAGAAAAAAAAAATATCATGCCTCACCTGAGGTAGGGGACTATTATTGAGGCACCACAAAAATAGATCATGCCTCACCTGTGGTAGGGGACTGTGTTTGAGGCGTGTAAGAAAAAAATCACCTGTGATCATGACTCACACCTGTGGGTGCTAGTGGTAGGGGATGTGCCAGGGGTCTGTGTTGCAGCAGGGAGCGGCGCAGCCAATCAGAGGAGAGGATGGCGAGCTGGATGAAGAGGAAGAATGCGAGCATGTGGTACCTGCCGTGTGGGGGGTGGGGGGGGATGGGATGGGGGGGCATGGGTGAAGGATATGTGTCAAGTGCGCATGGGGGGAATGTGGGTGGGAAGGGAGGATGGCGAGGTGGATGAAGAGGAAGAATGCGAGCATGTGGTACCTGCCGTGTGGGGGAAGGGAGGGCAAGGGAGGAGATGATTGGGGGATATGAACCATGTACACTTTTGGTATGGGGCCACGGCACGTGGGTGGGAGGATGGCGAGGTGGATGAAGAGGAAGAAGGCGAGCATGTGATACCTGCCGTGGGGGGGATGGGGGGAGAGATGGCATAGCATGGCGTGGGTGGGAAGGGTGGGGGAAACTCGGATGGGGGCATGCTGTGTGTGTGTGAGAGCAACGGTAGAGGAAGGATGAAGAGGAAGAAGGCGAGCATGTGATAGCATCACAAGAGCAGCATGTAGGGTGTTTTTGAGAATTCTCAGTGACGTAGGGTGTTTTTGAGAATTCTCAGTGACGTAGGGTGTTTTTTGAGAATTCTCAGTGACGTAGGGTGTTTTTTTGAGAATTCTCAGTGACGTAGGGTGTTTTTTGAGAATTCTCAAAAACATCCTACATCAGGAAGGATGAAGAGGAAGAAGGCGAGCACGTGATAGCATCACAAGAGCAGCATCAGCCGCAGCAGAGTGCTTGTCTTTCGAGGTCTCTGAGGAAAATGAGGTGACTTTTGAGTCGACTCAAAAGTCACCTCGACTCAAAAGTCACCTCGACTCAAAAGTCACCTCGACTCAAAAGTCGACTCAAAAGTGCTTGTCTTTCAAGGTCTCTGAGGAGACGAACTTGGGAGAATAAGCAGGTGGGTGGTTGCGCCGTGCCGTGTAGATGACTTTTGAGACGTCTCAAAACTTGTCTTTCAAGGGCCTGCGTTCAGAAGAGAGCTCTGAGAAAACGAACTTGGGGCTGTGTAGATTTTGAGGCGCCTCAAAATACACCTCTGAGAAAACGAACTTGGGGCTGTGTAGATGGGCAGGAAAATAAGCAGGTGGTTGCGCCGTGTAGATGCATCGGACCCCTGTCACTCTCTTGGCTACATGCAGATAAGCCCCGTGCCAGTAGAAGAGCAGCAGATGCGCCCTCCCCAGCAGCACAGTGGTTGCCTTTCTAGAGCGCTCACAAAATAGCAGCAGAACACGAACCTGGGAGAATAGGCGGGTGGCTGGGCACTGTAGATGCATCGGACCCCTGTCACTCTCTTGGCTACATGCAGATAAGCCCCAGAACACGAACCTGGGGGAGTAGGCAGGTGGCTGGGCTGTGTAGATATACCGAATGCCTGTCACCCTCTTTGCAGCATGCAGATACGACCCGTGCCAGTAGAAAAACAGCAGATGCGCCCGCCCCAGCAGCACAGTGATTTCAAGGAGCTATGTCTGTAGGGAGCCATGTTCTGATAAGAAACGAACCTGGGGGAGTAGGCAGGTGGCTGGGCTGTGTAGATATACCGAATGCCTGTCACTCTCTTGGCTACATGCAGGTACGACCCATGCCAGTAGAAAAACAGCAGATGCGCCCTCCCCAGCAGCATCAACACATCCCCCCCTCGTGCTGCCACCCCCGCCCACACCACCAGCGCCCTCCTCCCCATCTCCCTCACTCGCTCCCTCACTCGCTCCCTCACGCGCCCCACCCAGTGCCACCCTACCGCCGCAGCTGCCACCCATCCCAACCCCCTCGCACCGCTCACACTTGCTGCTTCCCCGTCTCCCCCGTCATTTGCGTCCCCCTCTGTCGCGCCCTCCTCTCCCCCCCTAGGGCTGGATGTGTGGCTGTGAGGTGCCTCCATCCCCCTCTCCTCCGCCCCTGCAAGTGTTGTTCCGTTACCTGCCCCACCTCTCCCTCCTCCTCCTGCTCTTGCTTCTCCTCCTGCCCCTCCTCTCCCTCCTCCGCCTGATGTTCCCCCTGCTCCCCCCTCCCCTGCTGCTGCGAGCGCCCTTCCCCGGGAAGCAGCGCGGGCGCTGATGTGAGCTGCAACAGCAGGGAGCAGGCAGTGCAGCAGCACGAGGGAGAGGCGGCGGGCTGGGGCAGGTGGCAAGTTGTAAGTGCCTGACACCTGGGAGGGGGGGGAGGTGGATGTGAAAAGGGGTCAGGAGCGCGGGCGCTGATGATGTAATGTGCACTGCTACAGCCGGGAGCAGGGCGTGCAGCAGCACGAGAGAGAGGCGGCGGGCTGGGGCAGGTGGCAAGTTGTAAGTGCCTGAGAGAGGCGGCGGGCTGGGGCAGGTGGCAAGTTGTAAGTGCCTGACACCTGGGAGGGGAGGCACGGGCAGTGGATGTGAAAAAGGGGGTAGCAGCGCGGGCGCTGATGTGAGCTGCAACGGCAGGGAGGAGGGCGTGCAGCAGCACGAGGGAGAGGCGGCGGGCTGGGGTGGGAGGGAGATTGTAGCCGCCTGATACCTGAGAACGGGGGCATGGGTGTGCAAAGGGGCAGCAGCGCGAGCGCTGATGTGAGCCGCTACAGCCGGGAGCAGGGCGTGCAGCAGCACGAGCGAGAGGCCGCGCGCTGGTGTAAGGGGGGAGATTCTGAAGTACGAAGGGGAGGGGGGAATACCTGCGTTTGTTTTTTGAGAATTCTCAAAAGATTCTGAAGTATGAAGGGGAGGGGGGAATACCTGCGTTATGTCGCAATACTCATCTGCACGCACGCAGCTCACTGAGATTTTCCGCTGTTTTTCCTTTGCTTTAAGCCTACTGCACGCACGCAGCTCACTGAGATATGTCTGAACCTCGCGGGGAATACCTGCATTATGTCGCAATACTCCTCCCCTAAAGTCCTGCTGCCAGCACCAGTGGTCACGAGGTAATAAAGACACCGCGCCGCCACTCGAATCGGGCCGCCCCATTGGCCCGCGACGCGGTGGCCGAGCTGCGAGCCAATGGCGTCGTGACACATGTCGCCCAGCGACGCCGCGTACAGCTCGTCCTTCTCCGCGGCGCGCATCACCTCCGGCTGCGCCGCCGGAGGAAACTGCACGCCGGGGGAAGCCGCCGGCGGGGCATCGGAGCGCGTACTGCTGACGTTATGCGCTGCTGAAGCAGACATGCCTAATCCCTCACGCTCCTAGATTCTTATGGAGACTCAGAAACCAAAGGGAGAACAAGTTTCCTAGGTTAAGTTCAGCGTGCTGGAGTCCCTATAAGTCTCTTCGTGGATTCGAGACTCCAAATAGCCTTGCTGTGACTGGTATGCCTGCTAGCCAGAATGAATGACTAAGATGCTGTGATTCGGCTACCCTAGCCTTCGACACAACTAAACATTTGAAAAAGCTGCCTGCTGGGTTGTAAATACGCGATTTTGGTGCACCTGGTTTCGCTATACTTGGCAGCAGAACGGATTGATGTATTTCGTGGTTATTAGCAGCTCAACTTATCATACATCTTGTACTTAAAAAATAAGCTGATTCAATACTTGTAAAAAGAATTGCAGAAATTTCCATCTACGCCGGACCATGGTGCTTGCTATTGTATATTTATTCGACGCTGCTTTTGATGAAAATTCGTGAGCGACCACTCCCGTGTAGGATGCACGTAATGAGCAGTCTTCAGGGGCCTTGTGATTGGTCGATTTCAATACCCCTCCTCCCCGCATGGGGACTGGACTGAATTCAAGCAACCTCGAACCAGCAAAATGGTTTCTCCCAGACCGCAACGCCAACAGAAGGCTACCCTTCAGTACCCACAAATTTTACAACTCATGAGGTTCGCTGAACTAAACTGTCTGAATTCTGTGTGATTATGTGTTCAACTGATGCTTCTTCGTATTCTGTGCGAACTCTTCAAGTGCAGTAAGATTGAGAGGCAAAAAAAATGGCGGAATAATTTGTGGGAACTTGGCAGTGTGGCGTTAATATTTCGGGAGGCACTTTTTGTTTGCTCTGGGCCGTGGTCAATGAATACTGTACTATCGCTGACGCTTATGGGATGATATACCTCAGCCGACAGAAACCCCCGCCCAATTTCGCGGTTCAGAAGGGACAACGGCCCCCCTCGGGATTGACGAGCTCGCGACGACCTCCTAGCTCCAAACTGGGCCCAAATGGCGTCCCAGGGGCCTCGGGAGCCCTCGGGATTGTCGACCATCCGACGACATAGGTTTCCGCTGGGAGATTCCTGAGAAGTAAATCTCAGCGGACAAAATAGGAAAGCTCGCCACGTCGCGCCGCGACTGCCGCCACGCGGACCAATAGGGGGGAGCCAGACCGTCCCCACCGTGTATTAGGCAGCCACGACGCCCACGTCGTCGCCACGCGTCGCTCCAGCGGTGATTATCCCTGCGCGGGAAGTCGTTCCCACCATTGAAAATGTCAGAGCGCGATCCACGCGGCACAAATCGGACCGTCCAGGGTGTAACTGTTCTGTGGCATCGCGAGTTGCACGCGATGTCGGTGTCGACCAACTCATGCAAAGGCTCACAAGCTTGCCACGCGGCACAATCTCAACACAGTCTAGGTTCAATGAACCTAAAGATACAACCAAGCGCGCCGATTGTAAGTCGGCGCCGATCTTTCGGCGCCCACGGTATGGCTGCCACGGTGGCCTTAGGGTAAATCCGGGACCCGGGGAGATTCGAGTCGGCATGCTGTAATTTCGGAACTGAGGGGCCAATGTCGGCCCCAAGCCACGTAACACACGCCCATTCCACCGTGGAAAGGGCCAGGCTTACGCCCCTTCGGTGCAGCGCGGCGTCACATTAGCCATGCTTGGCACGTGGCACTTCTGGCAGTGCGCCGCCTTTGCGAGAACACATGCACGGCGGCAGGAGCATAGGGGTGTGCGTGAAGCGCGGCAGCATCGGTGTCGCTCAGGACCATACCCATCCGTGACCGTGCGGGCCTGCTCATTCCCATGTCCGTTCCTGCGTTTGTTCCTCCTCTCTCGTGCACTTAGAATTTCCAGCTGCCAGTCTGTCATCGCGCATGTAGGTTACCCGGTTGCCGACTTGGTCATTAGTCCTCGACGTCGACGTCTGCTGTTTTAGCTAAACATCTGTGCAAGTCGGCGACGCATGGCCAGAGGTCGCCCTAGAGCCCATCTGCCGCAACCCATTCCACCCCCCGCCGACTCCGTAGACGCCGACATTAAAGCGCAGCTGGAACGGCTCGAGGTCGAAGCCGAGTTAGACGCACTCGACCGAGAATTCCGACCCGTGAATCAGTACCGTCTCTGGTTTACCGACCTCCGCATCGCACACGGACGACGGTAGAGCAACATACGTGCTGCCACATGGCCGACGTCGACATGACCGACGCTAGACCATCCACCGACCACAGTCCGACATCTACCGAGGAAGAGACGCTCTCGTTACTCTACGATCTTGACAAGCTGACGCAGATTCCAGAAGGGGAGTTCACGAAGGACATTCCCCCACCGCCGATCGGGGAGTTTAACAAGATAAAAGAACAGAATCCGACGCGGAATGGACGGCCAGGAACCTCGTCGGCACCGGCCGGCTCTGGAAACCAGGTTGAGGTCGATGAGGAGGAGGATGGGGGGGAGGAGGAGGAGGAGGAAAGCGATGACGAAAACGACGAGCGTCCGCCGCGTAGCACTTGTCAGCGCACCTTGGAAGAACGACTCAGGCGGGAACTTGAATACATAGATGATCTGCTCGAACAGGACGAGGATGCCGACCAGGAGAACTTGTCGGTGCCGCGCGAACAGTGGAAGGCGGCAGACTTCGTCGAGGAAGACATGGTGTACGCGTCCATCGACGTGATCGTCTTGGACGCCCTACGCCACCTGCAAACCGTGGAGAGGAACAGCACGCTGAGGCAGTACACCTCGTGGATCTATCACTACAAGAGGTGGGCGGCGAAGATGTTGAGGCAAATTCGCAACAAGCTGCCGCAGGAGTACAGGCTTAAGCACGTCGACGAGATAGGGCACTACATCCGGGACAACAAGAAGAGAAACTGGGACCAAGAGGCCGATGTCCCCCGGGCGTACGTGTGGCTGCACGGCCCAAGGGTCACCAAGTCCCGGCTTCGCGCATACGTGAAGTACATGGTTCGGGAGTTGAAGCTCGATGCCGAGTCCAACAAGGAGGGCGACAACGCCACACGAACACAGCCTGTGCAATCTACAACGGTGCACACGCTCCTCGGGCGCATAAAAGCATGCCAAATGGCGGCGAGAGTGGAGGCGACGCTATACCGGGAGACGGAGCTGAGCATCATGCGTGAGATATCGGTGGTCAGGTCGGAGGTGCGGTTCATGATCCGCACCAAGAACGAGCGGGACATCATGTGAGTTTATGTTTAACCTCTGTCGGCCACTCTCTTGTTGTCATGTACTATGTCGACGCCGCACTAATTACCCCTCACCCTCGGCATTGTCGGTAGGAACTGCACCGATCGGCGTCGCGGAACCATCGGCGATACCTACACAGCCGAACAGTTCCGCCAGATCATGTTCAGGGTGCTGCCGACGTGGGCGGCCAAGGCGTGGAACCCGCGGGGTACGGGCCCGTCGCAGACGCTGTGGCGGTTTCTGCTGTTGAAGGTGCTCACGCTACTCTCCCACCACTCTCTTCTGCGCGGTGCAAGCATCCGCGAGATCACGCTCCCCGACATTTTCTTGTACCGACTGGCGAGCACCTCGTCGGTGAACCCGGAGAACCAGCCGGTCGTCATGGTCATCGCTGCGCGGAACTCGAAGACGTCCAAGGATGCGCGTTTGCAGCAGAGCTACGCTGCGCGGCACCTCGAAGCGGAGTTGTGCGCCGTCGGCGAGACGGGCCTGTGGTTGCACTTCATCCTCGACCAGATCGGCCAGTTTCACGGCGTCCGCCTCATTCCGCCGGTGGACACCAGCACACGCGCGAGCTGGTACAAGAAGCACCTCTTCTTCGCGAAAAACGACACCGACCAAGGGGAGCTCTCTGCGGCAAGCCACCAACGCTGGACGCGGCAGTTGTGGGACAAAAACCGGGTGTTCTGCAAGAGGAACGTGCACGCCGCTCGAGCCGGTGGGGCCCAGGAACTGGCCATCGACGGCACGCCGCGCGCCGAGATCGCGGAGCTGGGTCACTGGGCGCTCGACAAGATGACGCGAGCGTACATCACCGCCATTCCGGTGGGGGTGGTGATGAAAAAGGCCGGTTACTCTGGTTGCAAGCAGGACTACTTCTTGGGCCGGAGCAGGGTGGAGCCCTCCGATAAGCTCTTGAAGCTCCTCGCCGAGCACATCTTTCCCGGCGTCGACGACATGCTGAAGACGGTATGTTAGTCGACGCCCTCGTTTCCTTGTTTGCGAGTTGTGTTGCCGACATTGTCTGAACTCTTAATACACGTGTCGAATTGCAGGCGGAAGGGAAGGCTGCCAAGGGGTCCGACGCCGACAAAGCCGCGGTGCACTTCTGGCGCACACTCCAGATGCTGCGCCGCATCGTCGCCGAGGACCTAGCGGTGAAGCTGGTCCGCACACCATGGCACCCGTACGTCCAAGGATCCCTGCTCTGCCGGATCCCCCTCTTCCAGCACTGGGCGAAACGGGTCGAGGCGATCGACACCGAGACGATCAACAAGCGTCGGGACCCGACCCAAATTCAGGCAGAGTTAAGTCGACGACGAGCTGGATGTTGGGCATTCCATACCACCACGCAGCTAACGTCTGTGTGCTACCGCTGCAGGAAATCTCTGTCCGCATGGACACCGAGTACTACAACATATCCCTCAAGGCGAAGCTGACGAAGGAGATGGAGCGCGCCGCGAACGAGAAGATTGACTTCCTGGAGGAGCTCGAGAAGCGCGACGACACCATCGCGTCTCTCACCGCCGAGATAACCCGTCTCACCGAGGCACTCCGTGTGTCAGAAGCACGGAGAGTGCCGGAGGCCCCGCCGTGTGCTACCGCGCAAGCTCCCAGCGAGGGTGGCTCGGCGGATTCGGCCAACATGGGAGCCGGCGCCGACGGAGGGGACGACAAACCCCCGCCACCCCCACAGACGGACGAGGAGGCTAGTTACGAGCTCAACGTGGTACAACCGTGGCGGGAGGCCAAGACCGTGAGGGACGCCTGGCGCCTCTGGAACTCCGCCACCGCTAATGACACCCGTCGGCTTTGCGACAGGATCGCCGAGCCGGGGTTCATCGACCGCCACACCCTCCTCGCCGGCGCGACGCAGGGTGCACTCAACAAGAGGGTGCGCCGCATGCTGAAGGTCATGGATGCGGTGCGCCAGCTACGTGCGAGCGACGGCGACGCCGACACCGAGGCCGTGGTCGACACACTGCACAGGATCGCGGCATCGGGCATCGGGACCTTCGCCGATGCCCTCACGGTGCTCAAACCGGGAACGGCACCGATGTTGTCCAAAGAGCCTGGCATGGGAGTAAAGGGGCTGGGCCCCAAGGTGGTCTCGAAGCTACGCCTCGCCTGTGCGCTTGTGGCGCTCAACCTGAAGCAGAGTGATTGGGTTGAAACCCTGTTTCCAGACATGTGGGAGGAGCAGATGCCGAAGACCAAGGCCGACCTGGCGAAGCCGACGGCACCGGCCAAGTCGACAGCACCGGCCAAACCGACCGCTCCGGTGCACCGTCCTCCGACCAAGCGCAAGAAGTCGGCATGAGCGCGCTTGTAGGATATGCGTGTGCGTAGTTCGATGCTGTTTAGGGTTTAGGGTTTAGGGTTTACGGTGTGGCAGACTTTCAAATGCTGTTCTGGTAGTTTGTAACAACCCACTGCAAGGCCCTTGCGAACCTACTTGATCACGCCGTGTTAAATATAGTCGGTCGCTCATTACTAATCAAAACAGGTCGCTCGATGTCGACGTCTCGCAGGATTGCATGTTGCTAGGCTGTCGACATGTACCTAGTCAGAGCTCGTCGCCGAGTAGCATGTGTCTACCTGTGTATCGGCGCAACCTCGCCGAGTAGCATGTTCTTTTTTATGTCGCTGCATGCGCCGACAAGGCTCATCGTTCAAAGACGGCTAGCAAGTTTCAATGTGGACAGTAGGGTTTAGGGTCATCACAAAGTGACGCAAACAGAAACAAAGAAGATTCGTGCCCTACGATCAAAAAGTCATTAGATTTACTACGACATCGGCGCCGACCATACCATAGCATCCCGCACACCACAGCCCGCCAACTACGCATCCGTACTGCCCTTGCCCTCCTTGCCCTTCTTCTTCTTGCTGCCCTTGCCCTGCTTGACCTTCTCCCCCTTCCTCCCCCTGTGATCCATATCATACTCCATCTTCGCGTCACACGGCACATCGATGCCGTACTCTTTGAGCTTGGGCCCGGCGAAGGGGCACATTCCCCAGAACGCCAAGGTCTCGACCGTCGCTCTGGCGATCATGTCGGCCTCGACTTCCTCCACTCCCTCCTCGAAGGCCCTGACCACTGCCTGGCGCTGCAGCGTTGGCGCGACGTTATGTGCAACCTCCCCCGCGGGAGCCTCCCTACTGCGTGCTAAGTCGATCACCGCGTGCATCACCTTCTTGAATGCCTCGGCCCTCTCCTCCCCCGCACCTGCCACCATCGCCGCCGCCTTCCCTTCGCCCACAGCACCGAGCAACGACGCCCCCGTCTCCACGAAGCACCAGAGGGCGCATGCAGATGCCGCTAAGGCCTGGGCCCCCATCTCCGTCTTCTCGTCCGCCTTCCCCTCCGCGCCTTCCATCTCCGTCTTCTCTCCCGCATTCCCTTCTACGCTCGCGTCGACCTTCCCAAACGCCGCGCTCGCCGCGACTTTCCCATACGCCGCGCACATCGACACGCGATTTACCATCGCCGACATGAGAGCCTCCGTCTCCTCCTTGCCTTCCTCCGTGTTTTCGATGATGGGGAACCAGATCGCCGGCCAGAGCACCCCATGAAGCGCATCACCCGACCTCGCGTACCCACGGTACCTGCCGAGTATGTCGTCGAACCTGCCGCGCAAACACATTAAAACGACACCGACATCAGCGTAATGACACCGACATGGTCGACAGAACTCGGCGCGTCGGTATCTGTCTTACCTTGCTCTCGGATGGCACAAGCCTCTGGCCCACATCACCGTCCACAACCCAGTCGGTAAGAACTTGACCTCCTCCCACACCTCCTTCCATTTCTCCAACTCCCCCGGCTTCAAGACGGTGAGCTCCTTCATGAGCACCTTGCTCACGTAGCCGTCGTAGACGACGTACGCAATCGCGTGCTCGTAGGCCAGCTCCATCTTCTCCCTCGACTTGCCGATGTATCGATTCCGTCCGTTTACCTTAATCTCGCCCACCCACCCTTGCCGGTCGCCGGTCTTGTCATGGCGGATGCCATGACCCCTGCGTCCATGCTCTTTATCTCCCTCGCCGCCCTCCTCGTCCTCCTCCTCCGCCTTCTCCTTCTTCTTCGCCGGCTTACCCTTGCCGCCCTTCTTGTCCTGACTCTCTTCCGCCTTCTTCCCTTTCTCTTCCGACATCTCCTTCCCCGCCGACATCGCCCGCGTGCTCCTCTGAGAGACCGCCCTCCCTTTCCCGGTGTCGACTTTCCCCATTCTCTCGGCGACAGCACCCGCTGCAGCCGTCGGCTCCGCCGATCCCCCACCGTGGGCCGACGGCTCCACATGCGCCGTGTCCATGATGGCCAGAGCAGGGGCGTGCTCAGGGCGTCTTGCAGCATCAAAATGGGCCAAGACGGCAGCGAGTTTGTCGGCGCGGCCGCCGGTGGCTAGCGCTGCACTCACTCCCCTCTCCGCCGCCGCATCGACCACAGCTGCACCTGGTGAGGGTGCGGTCGCGTTTACCGACGTCGTCGTCGCGCTTTTGCCGGGTTCCTGCTGAGTCACCGGTGGAGCAGCCGCTTTGCGGCCGGCTAAATGGGCGCGCAGAAACGCTGACTTGGGGTCCGCTGGCGGTTGGGCGGCGACCGAATGCGCTGCAGGTGGGGCCCCGGACGATGTGCCGGCAACCTGTGGAGTGACGGAGCGACGTGCTGTTCCGGCAGGGCCGGCGTCGACCACGGGATGCTGCTGCACGTCCCTGCTATGTGCCTCCATGCGGCGGAGCATCTCCCTGAGCGCGTCAGCACCGGGGGGCCCCTTAGCTGATGCCGGAGAAGCGCCCTTAGCCGAAGCAGCCTTCGCGCCGCCCTTGCCGGCAGCCGGGGCTCCTGGAGCTGGAGGGGCCGCACGGGCCTCCCCATCTTTGGTCGCACCTCCTGACTGGCCGGCATGCGCGCTGGTAGCCGCAGGGGGGTTACGGGGAGGGCACTTGGTGGTGCCGGCGACCGTAGCAGAAGCAGCCTTCGCGTTGCCCTTGGCCGCCACAGCGACGGACGGTCCCTTGGTGGTTCCGGCGCCGCCATCTTTCGCCGCCTGAGCGGTTGGGACCTCCTTGTCGGTCACGACTTTCCCACCGCTCGCCTGAGGATGGGTCTGCTCGGCGACCAAAGGCGGGCCTGGCTGAGCGGCGACGTTTGCGGCAACCCCGTCGGCAGGGCCACCCTCTGCCCCCCCGCTTCCGCCTCCCTTGCTGTTCGACGTCCTTATCACCCTCCACCCCGCCTTTTCCTTCAGCTGGTCGACCACGCTCCGTGCCGCAGGCTTCGAGCCGCGGCTCCCGTCCGACCCCTTGCTCCGCTTCGCGTCGCCCTTCGCGCTCTCCTTGTCGTCTCCGTCTCCCGTCCTCTTCAGGCCCTGCTTGTCGGCCGTCTTCCGTTGCGCGTGATCGGCGTCATTGGCCGACGGCGACGACCCACGTCGACCAGGCGCCACAGTGCCGACCATCTCGGCCAAACTCTTCATCCCGGAAGCAACGAAAGATTGCTGGGTGGCCTCCGTCACCGCCTTCATGATGTCGGCCTTGAACGACTTCAATAGCTCTTCCGAGAGGGCGGGCGGCGTGGGATGAGGCGGTGGCGGCGGCGGCACGGCGAGCCTGGCGGTCACAGCGGTGGCGATGTTGACCTGCGCGGCGGATAGTTGCGTCGTGATGTACTGCTCCAAACCCCGCTTCGCTTCGCCCACCTCCCCAGTCACGTGATCGGCCAAGGCGTTGACCGCTGTCGCGCGTGCATATGCCACACGACCCTCCGGGTTGTCGAAGTCCTCCAACCACGCCGACGCCTGTTCCCCGAAGGTCTTCATCGCCTTCCACGCTTCGTCGAAGCTGCCGGTGATGTCGCCCGTGATGGTCTTCGACATGGCCGCAGTCGCGTTTCGCAGCTGTTCCGCCGCATACTTCTCGGTGTCGTCGACCTGCTCGGCCAACACTTTCACGTGGTCGACGAGTCCACGTATCCCTACAAAAAAACTGTCCAGCCGAGCCTGTTCCGCACCGAGCAACGTCGCCAGCCGAGCATTCTCCGCCCTCAACAGCCAGTTCTCCCGTCGCACCTGCTCGACGTCGTCCAGCTCAGTACCCTGCCGTTCAGAAGCTTCCCCCGTCTCCTGCACGCCCGTGGTGTTCGCCCCTTCGCCGGCGTCGACCGACACCTTCCCACCTTCGCATGCCGCCTCCTCCTGGCCCTTTTCTGTCATTGCCTCCACGCCGACCTCATCCTTCTCCTCCCCCCCATCCGCCGACCCCACCGCCTCTACCGCAGCTCCCACCTCTTCGTACTCCAGCTCGTACTCCACCACTTCCTCCACCCCCTCCTCATCCTTCCCTTCCCCCTCCCCATCCTTCCCTTCCCCCTCCTCATCCTTCCCTTCCCCCTCCCCATCCTTCCCTTCCCCCTCCTCATCCTTCCCTTCCCCCTCCCCATCCTTCCCTTCCCCCTCCTCATCCTTCCCTTCCTCCTCCTCATCCCCGTCCTCCTTCACGTCCTTCCGCTTCACCGCCTCGTCCTCCTCCTCCGCCTCCTCCTCAGACTCCGACTCCGACTCCGAATCCGTCTCCGACTCCTCTTCCTTCCTTCCTGCACCTGTCGTCGCGTTGCCTCCACCTCCACCGTTTCCTCCTTCCGCGTTCCCCTGATGCTGGGCGGCAACTGCTGCTTGGGGCGCCGTCTGTCTTTCCGCGCCGTCGTCATCAATCACACTGTCGGCGGGTTGTGATGTCGGCGCCGCAGAGCGATTTTCGGCGATGCGCTTGCAGATGTACTCCACCATGCTGTCTCGCAACGACCGCAGCCCCTTTGTCTTCATGTTCTCGATGCTCACCGCACCACGACCCTTCTCGCCCGTCAGCAGGTCAACCTGCTTGGCCACCCACCCGAACGACGTCGCGGCAAGCATGCCGGTGCCGACCTTCTCGTCCGACACTGTGTCTGGCACTTTCTGCATACAACACCGGCAAGCGCGGAACATTGTGAGCGGAGCATACAGAAACGTGCACCCTCCTGGATGGATAAACGTGCAACGTGCAACTCACGTCGCGGATAGGGTGGTCGCAGTCGGCAAGCCTGTCCTCCACCACTGCTTGTGATGGCGGTGCCCCGTCCCACTTCCTACCGGGACGCCCCAGCTCGGCCAGGACAGCCGTGCGGAATAGCCTGGAGCATCGTGGTAAAGGGAGGCGGTCAGCATGTGATGCCCATGGTCGGCGACTAACAAGCGGGAAATCGACGACTATTCACAACTTACTTCAGCACGCGGACGGCCTCGTCGCGGTGCTTCAGTTTCCCGGTATGCGGGTCGATGTGCCGGATCGAGGTCCTGCAGACCTGTCCCTCAGCCTGCAGCAGATCTCCTGGGTAGAGGATGGCTATGACGCTGCAGTGTGACCCTGGAAGCGGACCGCCGCTGCACATGCAATACACGACGGCGTCGACCACAGCATTAGGCGATGATGCGACCGACTAAACAAAACGATAACTGGACAACGGGGAAACAGCTCACGTCGTGCTTAACGGGATGGCGGCGATGTCGGCGTCGAAAACCGTAGCAAAGCAAGAATGGTCGGCGGCCTTCAAGGCCGATCGAAGCGGGCCGACTCCGATTACCCACAGCTTCTGGTCGTTCAGTCCAATGCGAAACCAAGCGTACCTGAGCGCACGAGTGGGCATGAGGGATGATCACATGGCGGGTTAGCAAACGCTAACGCTACCAGGTCGACGCTTGCTATGCCGACCGACGTCCATGGACGGGGTCGCGACAGTCTGCGACAATCGGCCCCCGACGGCGCCGACATATACTTTATGCGCCCATCTACAGGTAGTCGGCGCCGATATCCGCCCCTAATCGAGTCCCACCTTATGGCGACTAATCGAGTCCCACCTTATGGCGAATCCCAAGCATCTGTCGGTGAACTCTTTCTTCTGGTCGCGAAGGGCGGCGAAGTCGTCCCACTCGAGGGTGAAGCTGAGACCGCGACCCATTCGGTGTCTAAGGGGAAAGTCAGCCGAAGTCGGCGCCGACTTCTCGGCGTCGGGGATCGGCTCCATATCGACTAAAGGAAATACTAGGACGGCTAAGGTACGATAGCACGGATCTAGGGGGAGGCGCAGAGCTGTCTGGGAAAATGAGAAAAGGAGAAAAGGAGAAAATGAGGAGCGAAGCCACCTTCCACAATGAAAAGGGGGTGGGGCCGTTCAGCATCGCCCAAGGGTGTGGGGGCCTGGCTCGGCAGGGCTCGGAGGGCGCATGCGCTAGTGGCACAGGTGGTCCGTCTCCGCCCTGGCAGAGCGTCGACCTCGCGTCCATTGGCCCAGGTCGGCGAGGGGACGCACAACTCGCATGCGCGCGGAGCGTCGCTAGGGCCGACACATGTCGATTTCGTAGCGGATCGCGATGGTAGATGCGAGATGTTTTAATTTCGCATCGTCCGAAATTTCGCATGCGCGCGCTGCGAAGCGACGGGCGAACACGTGGCGTGACCGCAACGGGTCGCGAAATTGTCGAGCGTCCCGAGGGGCCCCCCGATTTTTCGCATGGCCCTCGCCTGCCCATCGGGCAGGCCGCGATGGGTTACTAGGACATCGCGGGCAGGTGGCACGTGTGGGCTGCCTTCGCGCGAGGGTAACTTTCCCACGCGCGAGGTGTCGCCAGCTCGCCGACCCCACCCGGTAACGTGGGGCGCTGTTCACTTTCGGAGCGGGGCTGCGGGGCGGCGGTCGTGCGCTCGGCCCAGCCCTGGGCCAGGCTGGCGGGCCCGCACGCGCGTCAGTTGCCCGCCTCGTCACGCCCGGCTCCGACGACCCCCTCTGACGACCCAGGTAAATCGGCTCCGACGACCGATTTCCGATGATTGTTTCGGGTTCACAGTGCATCCCCGCCCCTTCTCTCTTTCAGCGAATTTCGTAGATGACGACCCTCTGTACATAGGTGCCTCGAGGCCTTGAAGCCACGAGTTTAGCTAGCACGAACGACGGACGGACGCCATGGTTTTTTTGTTTTGATGGTCCAGCTACAGTTCGCCAACAGGTGCACCGCACTGGTTCATCTCATCACTCTTCAAGTTTCGGTTCCGAAACCCCGACTCGATCCATCCATTCATCCTCCCGCAGGGAATGCATCCCACAAACAACAAAGAAATGGTCCTGAGAACATGGATGGGTGGAATGGGATGCTCGATCGGATGAGCATTTATTCTCAATCGGATGCCCTTACCCTGCGGGTAACGCATGACTATAACGGCATGTTGTGGTGGAGGGAGCTCCAGAAGAGGATGATGGCTGTTTCGTTTCTATCGACCCATTCTCGTGGCTCACGACGAAATGTATTCCTTTTTTTCTTCGTGGTGGTTTACAAGCGTCACAACTGGACGCCGACTATTTTTTCCAGAGCACGACTCGGGTCGGATTACAGTGTAGATCGGATCGCAAAGCTTCGTCGACCCCCTCCCTGTTCCGAGCCTTTCCCAAAAGAGCCTGGGATGCTTCGTCGTTTACAGTTTAATCGGAACATGGCGGAACCTCTGTTTTTTCGTAGTTTCGTAAGCAGCAAGAGTCTATCCATAGCAGCACCGTCCTGACAGCAAGAACCGTCGATAGCAGCAAGAACCGTCGATAGCAGCAAGACGAGTCCTCCACCGTGGCTTCTACAGCGGCGTCGCGTCGCGGCGTCGCGCGCAAACGTAGGCGGCGCAGTCGCAAGATCGCTCTTCCCTCGCTCCCCCTCGACATGATGCAGTAGCGCGTTCGTCTGAAGCTTCTATCCTATCGGTCCGATAGAACGAGTCGTTCTCACGGCGATGGTGCGAGCTTTAGGCAGGTCGGCATCGCCGCATGGCGCCGCGAAGCCTTCATCAAGTACCAGCATTCTTCCGCTAATCACCGCCGGCCACGTGTCCTCCATCTGGCACGACATCGTTCTCATTCCGCCTGCCCCCGTTGCGCCTAGTAAGAGAACCCATTCCCCCTCCGGGATCTCCGCGCGGCGCCATCAGCAGCATCGTCGCCATCATGATGACAACCATCTTCATCATCATGATCCTCCGCCGCCGGCGGCGGCGGCGGCGGCGGCGGCGCTCTCGACCTCCACCTTCACGTTCGTCTGCCGCTCCGCCGCTTCCCGTTCCGCCGAGTCGCCCTCCGCCGCCCCCGGCGACGGCGGCGGCGGCGGGAGGGGGCGGAAGGACGAAATTCTGCGAAAGACGTTCCGCGAAAAGCGGAAAGTATTGGCGCTGGACGGAAGTCTTAAAGTGCAAGCTGTCCCGTCGTCGTCTTCTTCGAAGTCCAAATCGGCCGAGTCGCCCGAGTCGGCCGAGTCGCTGCTGCTGGCGGCGCCGTGGAATATGGGCATCTTGCCGCAGACGTGCGTTCTCGCGCCGCGATCCATGTCGATGTTCTTCCACTGGGGTGTTGACGAAGATCCAGCTGAAGCTAGAGAAAGAGAACGCAGAAATGCTCTTATCGGGGATAACGGTGATGATGATTTGGGCGGTGGAGATTCTGTGAAGGATTTCAAGGATTCGCTTGTAACGGCGTGCGACAACTCGCCGCTTGAAGCGCTCGAGATTGGGTCGCACGCGCGCGAACCTGGCGACGTGTACGATGTTTTGCCGCTGCTGGCGATGCCCTTGCGACTGATGGGGGCGGAGCGAAACAGCATGCCGATTTCGTGGAGGATTGTAACCATCGCAGCGGACGACGAGCTCGTGACAAGAGGGAAGCTAAAAACTTTTATCCGCAGCCGATTGGACGAAGTGCGAGATTGGGCAGAAAAAACAGAGTTTTACAGTGAAATCGCAGGAGCAGGTACAACCTCCTCCGGACAACCCACCATACCATCTCAACAACACCACCATACCTCGCCTCTTTTTTTCAATTTCTTTGTTTTTTTTTTATGCGTGTACCTTAGGTTTCACTTATTTTTGGGGTATAAATATTCTTTCGCCTTCTTTTTTGTTACATCTGGTGTACAGGCCGAGCGGTCAACAAATGCGCCAAACTCCTCCCCTCTTTCTCATTCGTCGAAAGGCGTCCCGCGGGCGGCGCAGCGGTTCCGGGGGAGCGCGGGGATTCCAGAGCGGGTTCCGCGGAGGACGGGGAGAAGCAGGCGGAGCAGCAACCCGAAGCGGAGGAATGCATTTGGGAAGCTAAGAGCACGTGGAAGAATCGAAAAGCCAAGGGACGGATTGATCCCGCCGCGCAGAGAGCGGCGCAAGCGGCGGCGGAAGCGGTGAAAGCGGCGGCGGAAGCGGCGGAAGCAGCGGCGCAGGCGGCGGCAGAGGCGGCGGCGGAAGCAGCTGCGGAAGCGGAACGAACGATTCGCTACGCGCACCGCACGTGGCGAATTCTCTGCCACTCGCTGCGCCGGCCCGTGCTGCGGCGCATTGCGCATGTACCGGAGAGCCATGGGCGAGAGCGCGCGGAGGCGGCAGAAGCGGCTGTCCGGGAGCTGGGGGGGGGCGGGGGAGGAGATGCGGCAGCGCAGGGGGAGAAGGGGCATGGGGAGAAGGGGCATGGGCATGGGCATTTGCATTGGCATAAGCATGGGGATGGGCATGGGCACAAGCATTGGCACAAGCATGGGCCAGGGCATGATGGGCATAAGCATAAGCATGGGCATGAGCATGGGCATGGGCAGGAGGAGGGACAGGAGGAGGAGAAGCAGGAGCGGAAGTCACCCAAGGGGCACGAGGGAGGAGGTATGAGCAGCAGCAGCTGCAGCAGCAAGGGCGCGCCTGTTGCTGCTTCTGCTGCGTTCTCGGCTGCGTTTAAGTCTGCTCACGACTGGCCTCGCAAGCACGCTCACGCTCAACCGCACGCGCTCACGCTCGCGCACCCACGGCCATTGTCAGTGTCTTTCGCTGCTGCTGCTGCTGGCGAGTCCCCGCGGGAGCGCACTCACTCACTCTCACGGCCGTCTTCAGCATCTCTCGCTGCTGCTACTGCTGCTGGTGCCGCTGCCGCTGCTGCTGCTGGTACTGCTGGCGAGTCCCGGCGGGAGCACGCTCGCTCGCACGCTTTCTCACTCTCACGGCCGTCGTCAGCGTCTCTCGCTGCTGCTGCCGCTGTTGTTGCTGGTACTGACGAGTCCTCGCGAGAGCAGGGTCACACGCGGGAGGCTCATAGCGAGTCTCGTGACGAGTCTTATAACGAGTCTTATAACGAGTCGCGTGACGAGTCTCATAACGAGTCGCATACTGAGTTAGCGAAAGAGTCTCATACAGAGTCCCAAAATGAGCCTCAAAAGGACTCTCGTGAGAGTTCTTTTAACGAGTCACGTAATAGGTTACACAAGGAGTCTCGTGCGGGTTCTCCTCATCACGAGTCCCATAAATGGTTTCACAAGCATCATTCTCACAAGGACTCTCGCCGAGAGTCTCCCAATTCTCATCACGAGCCGCACAAATGGTTCCACAAGCATTCTCATAATGAGTCTCATGCCGATTCCCCGCATTCTCCGCACGAGTCCCACAGGTGGTTTCACAAGCATCATTCCCACAGGGACCCTCATGCGGAGTCCCCTCATTCTCATCACGAGTCCCATTCCCATAAATGGTTCCACAAGCAATCTCATAGGGTCACTTTCGAAGTGCCTCATAACGAGTCACACAAGTGGCCTCATAAGGAGTCTCATAAAGAGTCTTATACGGAGTCTTTTAAGGAGGGCCAGAAGAACCAACTATTCAAGCGAATCCATCCCTCCCCATCCGCGGGGGACCTCGGAACCACCACCAGCAGCGCCGCTTGGAGATTAATCGCTCCTCCGGAAAGCTATGGCCTTCCGGGGCTCATCACCCCTAAAGGCGGAGACGTACTAGGGGGGAGTGGAGGAAGGGGAGGGCGACGAGGGGAACGAGGAGGGGAAAGTGGAGAAGGGTGGGGCGAGGGGAGCAGCGTGGTCAGGCAGAGACAGAGGCACAGCTGCACGGATCTCACAGACTTGGCTTCTGTGGGGGAGAGCGAGCAGCACGACTGGTTGAACAGCCCTGGTCTCGCTGGGTACAAGGAGTATTTAACTGGTTCACACGCAGGGGGGTCGCTGCATGGGACTGGTAGAAGAAGTGGGCTTCGAGTTTCCATGGGGGAGAGATCGGTGGGATATGAGGGGTATGAGGGGTATGAGAAGCATGAGTGGTTGCGCAGTCCGTCTGCTGGTCAGGGGATTCTTATTGCTGCCCGGGATGCTGTGGAGGGGGCTAAGGGCGTGGCTGACAAGGTAGCAGGCGTTGCTGCGAAACGCATTGCTGTAGCGGGAGCTGTAGCGGGGACTGTAGCGGGGACGGTGGCGGGGACAGTGGCAGGGACTGTAGCGGGGACGGCAGAGCACGTGGCTGGGAACGTAGCAGGGGCGGCAGGGGTGGTGGTGGGGAGAGTGACTGGCGCTGCAGGTGTGGTGGGAGGTTCGGTGACCGGGGCTGCTGGTAAGGTAGCTGGGGCTGTAGCGGGGACAGCAGAGCACGTGGCTGGGAATGTAGCAGGGGCAGCAGGAGTGGTGGTGGGGAGAGTGACTGGCGCTGCTGGCGTGGTGGGAGGTTCGGTAACCGGGGCTGCTGGTAAGGTAGCTGGGGCTGCAGGCACGGTAGCAGGTACAGTAGCTGGAGCTGCAGGTACGGTAGCGGGTACGGTAGCTGGGGCTGCAGGTACGGTAGCAGGTACGGTAGCCGGAGCTGCAGGTTCGGTAGCAGGTACGGTGGCGAGTCTACCCAGGGACGCGGTGGGGGTTGTGTCTCGCAGAGTGCGGAATATAGGCGCGGGGGGGAAGGCGATGAGTGCAAGGGTGCGCAAGGGTGCAGAGGCTCGAATCGAGGCAGCTCAGAGCACGGTTAAATCCGTGAGTGCAAGAGTGCAACGAGGCGCCGGGGCTAGCTTCGTAGTGGCTCGGCATGCTGTGGAGGAGAGGTTCGGAATGGGTCGGCATGGTTCGGAAGAGAGGCTTGGGATGGGTCGGCATGGTTCGGAAGAGAGGCTCGGGATGGGTCGGCATGGTTCGGAAGAGAGGCTCGGGATGAGTCGGCATGGTTCGGAAGAGAGGCTCGGGATGGGTCGGCATGGTTCGGAGGGTGGAAGCGTAGCGTCGGAGTCGTTTGAAAGGGTGGGTGACGATGGGTCGGAGGGGGGACGTTTGGTGTTCGAAATGATTGGCATGGCGGGTGAAAACGGTTCGGAGGGTGGGAGTGCGGTGCTGGAGTCGTTTTAGAGGGGGTTTGAGAATGGTTCGGAGGGTGGGAGTGCGGCAGTAGAGCCGTTAGAAATGGCGGATGAAGACGGATCGGAGGGTGGGAGAGTTCAAGGGATGCGAGAAACAGAGGCAAGTTCAGGCGCAGACGCGAGCCCTGGTGCGGAGGCGAGTTCTGGTGCAGAGGCAGCTTTTGGAGCAGAGGCGAGTTTTGGAGCGGTTCAAAGTGGTGTGGAGGAGTCTAGCAGTGTGAGATTACGGATAGGAGGATCAGGCGCGCATTCCGATCTGGAGGCGTCTCAGCAGAGTGAGGGTGGAGCGAGCAGTGACTCGTCAGAAAGAGAGGTGGAGTGCAAGAGTGGGGGGGTTCAGAACGGTGCGGAGGAGTCTACGAGTGTGAGAATGCGACGAGAAGGCTCTGGGGCGCATTCTAATTTGGATGCGTCTCAGCGGATTGAGGGTGCAGCGATCAGTGACTCGCCTTTAAGCGAGGTGGAGAGCGAGAATGCAGGAGTGCAGAGCGGTGCAGCGGAGTCTACGAGTGTGCGAGTGTGGAGAGGAGGCTCAGGGGCGCATTCTAGTCTGGATACGTCTCAGCGGAGTGGGGGTGCTTTGAGAAATGACTCGCGTTTATGCGGGTTGGAGAGCACGAGTGCGGGAGTGCAGAACGGTGCAGAGGAGTGTAGCAGTGTGAGAGTGGGGCGAGGAGGCTCAGGGGCGCATTCAGATTGGGAGGCGTCTCAGCGGAGTGAGGGTGCAGCGAGTAATGACTCGCCTGAAAGCGAGTTGGGGAGCAGGAGTACGGGAGTGCAGAGCGGTGTGGAGGGGTCTACAAGTGTGAGAGTGCGACGAGAAGGCTCAGGGGCACGTTCAGATCTGGAGGCGTCTCAGCGGCGTGAGGGTGCAGCGACAGTTGAGTTTTGTGAAAGCGAAGTGGAGAGCAAAAGTGGGGGAGTGCAGAGCGGTGCAGAGGCATATTCTGAGGCACCTGGTATTGAGGTGAGGAGTGTGAGTGGGAGAGTGGGAAGAGGGGGGCCAAGGGTGCACGAGGAATTTTCAGGGCAACACGCGGAAAGTCCGAGGCAACATGAAGAAATTCTGAGGCAGCGCGAGGAAAGATTGAGACAACTTGAGGAAAGCCTGAGGCAACGCGAGGAAAATCTGAGGCAACAGGAGGAAAGCTTGAAGCAACGTTTTGCTAAGTCTAAGAGCGGGAAAGCCAAAAAAAGGATCGGAGAAAGTGGAAGGCTGGTTGTTTCTGAGTCTGAAGAAAGCAGAACGAGCGGAAAAGGCAGAGGGATCAAAGGGAGCAAGAAGGTCAGAGGGAGCGGAAGGAAGGGAGGGAGTGGAGAAATTGGAGGGCTGGTTGTTTCTGAGTCTGAAGAAAGCAGAACGAGCGGAAAGGGTAGAGGGGTCGGAGGGAGCAAGAAGGGCAAAGGGAATGGAGAAATTGGAGGGTTGGTAGTTTCTGAGTCGGAAGAAAGCAGAATGAGTGGAAAGGGCAGAGGAAGGGGAGGCATCAAGAAGGGCAGAGGGAGCGGAGAAATTGGAGGGCTGGTTGTTTCAGAGTCGGAAGACAGCAGAATGAGCGGAAAGGGCAGAAAGATTGGAGGGAGCAAGAAGAGCAAAGGAAGCGGAAGGAGTAGCGGGAATGAGGAAACTGGAGGGTCGGTTGTTTCTGAATCTGAAGAAAGCAGAATGAGTGGAAAGGGCAGAGGAAGCGGAGGGAGCAAGAAGAGCAAAGGGAGCGGAAGGAGTAGCGGGAATGAGGAAAGTGGATGGTCGGTTGTTTCTGAATCGGAAGAAAGCAGGAGCGGAAAGGGCAGAGGAAACGGAGGGAGCAAGAAGGGCGAAGTGGGTGGAAGCGGAGAGAAAGACAGGAGGGAAGGAGGTGAGGAGGAGGGAGAAGTGAGCAGCCACAGGGACGAATCCTTCACTATAAGCACAAAGCACCGTAAAAGAGACCCTCTTGATAAGATGACAGTCAGCCCTCCTGTTTCCGCGCCTGCAGCCTCGCCTCCTCTCTCCCCCTCTTCCATCTCACCTCCTCATACTCCATCTCTGCACTCCCCTCTTCTCCTTGCTTCTCACTCCACCCTCTCTTCCACCTCTAGCTCTAGTGCCCTGTATGACCATTTAGTTGCCTCCTCTTGTGATTTGACTCACAAGTCAGCTGGGGCAGGAGCAGAAACAGAGGCAGGAGTAGGAGAGGCAATGGTAGGAGCAGGAGCAAAAGCAGCAGCTGGAGAAAAAGCAGCAAGACGAGCAAAATCAGCTGGAGGAGCAAAAGGAGCAGTGGGAGCAAAAGCAGCAGCAGGAAAAGCAAAAGCAGCAGCGGGAAAGGTAAAAGCAGCATCAAGAGAAAAAGCAGCAGGAGGAGCAGAAGCAACAGGAGGAACAAAAGCAGCAGCGGGAGCAGAAGCAGCAGCAGGAGAAATGGTAGCAGCAGGAGAAAAAGCAGCAGAAATTGGAGCGGGGGAAGGAGCAAAAGCAGCAAAAGGAGCTAAAGTAGCAAATGGAGCGAAAGCAGCAAAAGGAGCAAAAGTAGCAAAAGGAGGAAAAGTAGCAAAAGTAGCAAACGGAGCAAAAGCAGCAAAAGGAGCAGAAGCAGAAGCAGGAGCAGAAGGAGAAGCAGGAGCGGGGGAAGGAGCAGCAGGAGCGAGGGAGGGGGCAGTGGTCGCAGTACGAAAGAGGAATGCACCTAGTCCTGCGGCAAAAAGCAGGGGAGATGAAGCAAGCACAGCTGTGCCTGCTGCGTCTGTTCCTGCTGATGCGCCTACAACCTTGGCTCCTGTCGATGCGCCTGCAACCTTTTCTCCTACTGCTTCACTTACAACATCTGCTCCTACTGCTTCACCTGCTGCATGTGCTCCCACTGCTGCACCTGCTGCTTATGGGCCGGCGGTGTGTGGGAACGGTGAGGCCGCCGCCACACCTGCTGCACTTGCTGCATTTGATCCTACGGCTGCAACTACTGCTTTGGCTCCCACTGCTGCACCTGCTGCTTATGGGCCGGCGGTGTGTGGGAACGCTGAGGCTGCCACACCTGCTGCACCTGAGATAGAAGGGGCAGCAGGGCACAAGTATGGATCTCCTGATACTGCTCCTGCACATACTGCTCCTACTGATACCGTTTCTGCTGATATAGCTCCTGCTGGTGAAGGGGTTGCAGAACAAAAGTGTGGGATTGCGGCTGCTGCACCTGCTGCTGTCGTGCCAGCTGTTGCACCTGCTGTTTTTGAGCCTGCTGCTGCTGCACCTGCTGCTGCTGAAGATCCTGTGAATGCTGCCAATTCTGTTCCTGCTGCTGGTGGTGCCAGTCACACAGCAGTGGGATCTGTTGGCGCTGCCCGACCTTCTTCCAAGCCTTCCCGGAAGTTTCGTCCATCCTTTGGACCCTGTGTTGCGTGTTTTATTTTCGACAAGAAGACCCTGGCTGAGATTGCAGATGAGTCCCCAGGGGGAGTTTTAGGCAGACTAGAGGAGACGGGTACTGCTAGGTAAGATCGTTAAATCTCGTAGGGGTTTAGCTGCTTAAAACTCCAGAGTATAAAATGTAGAGATGAAGTGCAAAACGATGATGACAGTGTAACAGTACACTTGGTGTGAGTGTAACGATGTCACGTGTACAGTACGTGTTTAGTGCAGCTTTGTCTGACAGCAAGCGACCTCAGTCATGTGCATGGCACTGTACAGTACAAAAACTAGCTCCTACGTAGGAGGCTGGCGATTGGTCCTCCCTTAGGACTACTTTTGAACGGGAGCTCCTAATCTAGAGAATAAAGCCATGAAGGACAAAAGTTGCCGTGAGCTGCGTACGCGCAGGTCCTTCAAAACGTGACAGGAGGCTCACGATTGGTCAGTGCTTAGGACCACTTAGGCTCTATTGAGATTCGTGAATCTTAGGTTCGGTACAGTTCAAACATTAGTGTGAGCTGAGCAGTAGCAGGGAGCACCCAGCCTGAACTGGTTAGGTGGCACCTTGGCTGGAATTTGGTTTCGGTTGCCCGTTTATAATATGGTTCGGGCGGGCAACACGGGTCGAAACCTACATTTCCTAGAGTGTCCTTAGTTCATTTCGAATGAGTCATATATTATTAGTAGAGCTCGATAGTTCCTGGATTCGCACCGAAAAAAAAAAAAAAAAAAAAAAAGGACAGTCACACCTTCTGGCACACAGTCACGCGACGCGACTTTTGCCTCACCCACTGGGTTCTAAGAGTTGCCGACCATTGAGGAAGTGTTGGGCTGAGAAAAGCCCTTAGGATCTTTGCAGGACTAAACTCTGAGTAGGAACAATGTAATAGCGGAAGCGTTTAATGATAAGCCTGTGAACCACCTTGCGCTGGTATGTGAGGGCAAAGTAGATTAATTAATCAGAGAGATACAAGGCTTTTATAAGAATACAAGGAATATGAAAAGATGTAACTAATAACTGTTTTACTGTTTGCTGTTGCGGTTCGATACAGAGACGACTCGGGCAACTGCTCGATAACGAGTCAGTTGTTTGTCCTTGCTGTCGTGCTGTACTTGTCAGGTCAAAGGTCGCTGACCTTTGACTTTCGCGTAACCTCCAGCGGTTTCTTCACTTCTCAACCTCCAAATGTTGACTCGCCGATGCTTCGCTGTGCTTCGCCTCGTTTACGACTTAGTGTTTTGACACACAACAGAAGCGTTCAAATTACTTGTTTCCAACAGGAAGCCCAACGATATTTTAGTGGATGGCGGATTGCCACATGGCTCCTCAGGCTGGGAGGGACGAGCGTGCCTTGCTTTTCGCGGAAGCGCTGCCGGGCTGGCGACAGTTACGGAATAAGATTCGACGTCAAGTTAGACCGAGGCGTGGACTCATCATTCGGAGTGCAGGTTCCAGAGGAGACGCGACGACGAGACGAGACGACCCTCGTCGCCTTATTCATTATGGGATCGAGGTTTCGGCGAGTCGTCGACTTCGAAAACCAACGTTTCTCCTCTTGACAGAGTCCTCCTCCTCGCACTTGGTCGCTTGCTTCGCTGATTATCCGCCGTACATCGCCCATTCAAAGGGGCGAGGTCTCGCTCTTATCGTGCCGCACGCCGATCAGTGACCATATCATCTCAATATTACTACTTCTCATATTTACTCAGACACCGTTATCAGACTGAACCAAAAATGACGCAAGCTGCGGCGGCGGCGCCGACTCGGACCGTCGGATCGTCCACCAGCCTTCTCCCGCTAATCATCGCCGGCCACTTGTCCTCCATCTGGCACGACATCCTCCTCATTCCGCCTCCGCCTTCTCCCGCCAACGAATTCTCCTCCCCCTCCCCGCACCACCCCGGTCCCCCCTTCCCCGCCTGCACCTTCTCCTTCGTCTGCCGCGCCTCGAAATCCGATCCCGCGGATCGGGGGAGCGAAAGGCGGCGGCGGCGCGGGGATAATGAAGTCCCCCTTCTCGAGTCGCTCCGGGAGAAGCGGAAGGTCGTCGTGTTGACCCTAGACGGCAGTCTTTCTACTAAAGTGCAGCCGGCTGGCCGTTGCGACTCGGAGTCGAAGACGGCGTCGGCCGAGCCGCCGTTAACGTCTCTGGCACCGTGGAATTTGGGAATCCTGCCGCAGACGTGCGTGCTTGCGTCGCGATCCATGTCGATGTTCTCCCGCTGGGATGCCGCGGCGAATGGTTTGAACGAGGACCCCGAATCGCCAGTTAAGGAGCTCCGCGATTCGCTCTTAACAGCGTGCGACAATGTACCTCTGGAAGCGCTGGAGATTGGGTCGCAGGCGCGCAAGCCTGGCGACGTTTACGAAGTTTTCCCGCTGCTGGCGATGCCCTTGCGACTGCTGGGGGCGGAGCGAAGCAGCATGCCGATTTCGTGGAGGATTGTAACCATCGCGGCGGACGAGGAATTGGTGTCGAGCGGGCAGCTGAAACATTTCAAGCTGCGAAAATTGTTGGGTCGCCTGCAGGATTGGGCGAAAAAAGTCGGATTCTTTTGGAGAGATTGTCGGACCATGTATGCGAACATTGAAAGAAATCATATTACAAAGTTTGCGAAGCTGTTAATTGTTACTACCATTTCCTCCACTTCCTTTTCCCCCATCAATCATCTTCACATCCTTTTACTTCCCTCACTCCTTGCTCTCACCTCCCCATCGTTGATGTCAAATCTTTTGTTCCTCCTTGCTTCCTTGCGTCCTTCCTTGCTTGCCTCCTTCCTTCCCTCCCTCCCTCCCTCCCTCCCTCCCTCCCTCCCTCCCTCCCTCCCTCCCTCCCTCCCTCCCTCCCTCCCTCCCTCCCTCCCTCCCTCCCTCCCTCCCGCCCTCCCGCCCGCCCTCCGTCCCTCCACCCCACCTTTACTTCTTCTTTTCCTAATAGTAAGTGAATATATCGTTAATTGCTAATGAAAAAAAATCCAAGGCCCTTTCCTGCCCCGTAATCCCCACGTCCCGTACTCCCGCGCTCTCTCCCCGCTTTCCCTCGTCCCCGCAGGTCGCTCCCTCAATCCCTGCTTCGACACCTCCCCGTCTCCCTCGCCCGCGCAAGCACCACTGGAAAAAGAGGCTCGCGGAAAGCTCTCCACACTTCAAAACTCCAAGCCAATCCACGAGGGGGGAGAATCATGGGGCAGAATTTCTCGAGCCGAAGACAAAACCTCGACGATCCGACGCGGGAAGCGTGGAGTACAGAATCCTGAAGAGGAAGAGGATTCTGAGGACGACGACGACGAGGAGGAGTGGGATGAGACCAGAGAGGCGGAAGAGGAGGAGAAAGCAGCGGAGCAAGCGAGGGAAGCAGAGCAAACGGTGCTGCATGCTCACAGCACGTGGTGAATTCTCTGCCCCACTCTGCGCCGGCCGGTTCTCAAGCACATGGGTCTAACCCTCGGGAAGAAGGGAGCACACCAGTCTGAGAAACAGCAACAGCAGCAGCCTGAGCGGCAGCAGCAGCAGCGGTGGCACGATAAGCTATCGCGCGGCCCGGTGCCTTCATGCTCATCAGCCGATGCTCATGTGCCGATTTCCTCTTGGTCCTTCTCTACATCTCCCACCTCTTCTACCTCTCCTTCCGCCTCTCCCTTTCCCTCCTCCAAATCCCCGTCCCCTCGAGGCTCTACCAACCGCTGCTCAATGTTCGAGGCGCCTCAAAAGCCGTTCCCTCCGTTCTCCTCCTCCGCTTCCCCTTCCTCAAGCTCCAACCGCCGCTCGATTTTCCACCCCGCTCAACTTTCCCCATCTGCCTCTTCCTCATTCTCGTCGTTTGAGAATGCAGCGAGATCCAGCGGCCGGCAATCGTATCAAATCCGCCATACAAGATCCGCTACAGAATTTGCAGGTGATTGCTCCGCAGGCGCGTGGCGGCTGATTGCTCCTCCCGAGAGCTATGGGCTTCCGGGGATGGTCTCTCCTGGCCGGCTGGCAGGGGGAGGAGGAGCAGGAGGAGGAGAAGGAGGAAGAGCAGGAGGAGGAGTAGCAGGAGGGGTGAAAAGTGGTGCTGCAAGGAAAGAGGGTAGCAGGCTCAGGCACAGCCACAGCATAGACTTTGCGTCTGTGATGAAGAGCAAAGACTGGCTTCATAGCCCTGAGTCCCCTGCTCAGGTGGTGGCTGCCGCTGCTGCTAGGGGGGCAGCAGCGGTGGCGGGAGCGGCAAAGCAGCAAGTTGTTGCTAGCCTGACTGCTGTAGCAGGGGCTGTAGCAGGGAGTGTGGTGGGGACTGTGGCGGGGACTGTTGCAGGGACAGTGGCAGGGGCTGTAACCAGTCGCAGAAGCATGAGCGCAATCTCTTCGGGTGTTTCCTGGAAGCCTCTTTCGAATGCGACAAGTGTGGAAGCGGGGAGTGGAGGAAGAGGAGGAGGAAGGGGAGGAAGAGAGGATTTAGCTCGTCCTGTCTCATCATTCGCCCGATCCCCTCCTCTCACTCCCGCATCTCGATCCCCTCCTCTCCCTCCCCCGAACTCCTTCACTTTCACTTACACGTCGAGCTCGAGTGCCCTGTACGACCATCCAGCTGCCTCCTCTTATGAGTCGACTCAAAGGTCAGCTAAGTCTTCCCCTCCAGCGGTTGTGAGGGGGGTCACTTGGAACGGTACGGTTAACTCCTCTGGTGTGGCAGGAGCAGGAGGAGGAGGCGGCGGAGGAGGAGGAGGCGGAGTGAAAGCCAGTGTTGCAAGGAAACCGTTGACCACAGTGCTATCTCCGGCACCCACGTTGCCCACACAGTGATATCTCCGGCACCCACGTTGCCCACACAGTGCTATCTCCGGCACCCACGTTGCCCACACAGTGATATCTCCGGCACCCACGTTGCCCACACAGTGCTATCTCCGGCACCCACGTTGCCCACACAGTGATATCTCCGGCACCCACGTTGCCCACACAGTGCTATCTCCGGCACCCACGTTGCCCACACAGTGATATCTCCGGCACCCACGTTGCCCACACAGTGCTATCTCCGGCACCCACGTTGCCCACACAGTGCTATCTCCGGCACCCACGTTGCCCACACAGTGCTATCTCCGGCACCCACATTGCCCACACAGTGATATCTCCGGCACCCACGTTGCCCACACAGTGCTATCTCCGGCACCCACGTTGCCCACACAGTGATATCTCCGGCACCCACGTTGCCCACACAGTGCTATCTCCGGCACCCACGTTGCCCACACAGTGATATCTCCGGCACCCACGTTGCCCACACAGTGCTATCTCCGGCACCCACGTTGCCCACACAGTGATATCTCCGGCACCCACGTTGCCCACACAGTGCTATCTCCGGCACCCACGTTGCCCACACAGTGCTATCTCCGGCACCCACGTTGCCCACACAGTGATATCTCCGGCACCCACGTTGCCCACACAGTGCTATCTCCGGCACCCATGTTGCCCACACAGTGATATCTCCGGCACCCACGTTGCCCACACAGTGCTATCTCCGGCACCCACGTTGCCCACACAGTGCTATCTCCGGCACCCATGTTGCCCACACAGTGCTATCTCCGGCACCCACGTTGCCCACACAGTGATATCTCCGGCACCCACGTTGCCCACACAGTGCTATCTCCGGCACCCACGTTGCCCACACAGTGATATCTCCGGCACCCACGTTGCCCACACAGTGCTATCTCCGGCACCCACGTTGCCCACACAGTGATATCTCCGGCACCCACGTTGCCCACACAGTGCTATCTCCGGCACCCACGTTGCCCACACAGTGATATCTCCGGCACCCACGTTGCCCACACAGTGCTATCTCCGGCACCCACGTTGCCCACACAGTGCTATCTCCGGCACCCACGTTGCCCACACAGTGCTATCTCCGGCACCCACGTTGCCCACACAGTGATATCTCCGGCACCCACGTTGCCCACACAGTGCTATCTCCGGCACCCACGTTGCCCACACAGGTGGCGCGCAGCCGACCCTCGACGCAGGGACCGCAGGGTGGCGCAAGCGAAGGCGGCAGCGACGGGAAGACACGCGGGAGGCCTAAGACAAGACGCTGACTAGACATAGCGTGCAGGCGAGAAATGGACGGGTGCCCCATCCGGTGGTGCGACAAAACAGTGGGGTGGGCAAGCGACCGGCAGGAGCACGACGCAGCAACTGGACCAGACACTGGAACCTGACCAGACACAGCTACCTGGGGAGACGCGGCAACCTGGTGAGACGCGGGAACCTGACGGGGGACAGTGACAGGGGTTGGGGGCAGTAGCTGCTGCTGCTACTGCTGCTGCCCTCGGGGGCCAGTGTGAAGTGTGTAGAGACCAGAGCCCGGCTCAGCGGTAAAGGTGGCGAGAGGCGCGTACGTGTCCCCGTCGACACAAACCGTAGTCTCGCCAGAAGGCTCAATCCACACACCCACGTGCTGACTCACGAGCGGCCCCAGAGCGTAGACTTCGCTACGATGATGCAGAAGAACAGCGACTGGCTGCACAGCCCTGAGTCTGCCAAGGTTGAAGGAGGGAGCAGAGGATCAGTGGGAGGAAAAGGATGAGGAAAAGGAAGCGCAGATGAATCATCTCCTCCCGTCTCATCACTCAACCGATCCCAGCCTCTCACCCCCTCATCTCGTCCTCCTTCTCTCACACTCCCTCCTCGATCTCCTTCTCTCACTACCCCACCTCTATCCCCTTCATCAACCCCCCCACCTAAATCTCCCTCTTTCACTCGCCCGCCGCGATCTCCTACATCAATCCCTCCACCTCGATCCCCTCCTCTCACTCCCTCATCTCAATCCCCTCATCTCTCTCCCTCTCACTCCACACTCTCTTCAACTCCCGGCTCGAGTGCACTGAGCGATAATCCAGCTGCCTCCCCTCCTCCGGGGGTTGTGAGGGGAGTTCCTTCTGATGTGGCAGGAGCAGAAGGAGGAGGAGGCGGAGGAGGAGTGAAAGCCAGTGTTGCTAGGAAAACGGCAATCAAGCACAGGCACAGCCAGAGCGTGGACTTTGCTTCTGTGATGAAGAAGAACTGCGACTGGCTGCACAGCCCTGAGACCCCTGCTCTGGTGGGGGCTGCTGCTGCAGCTGCTAGGGGTGCAGGGACTGCAGCAGGTGGCACCAGAAGTGAAGGGAATGCATTTGGCAGCAGGCCAAGCGCACCACGATCCACTTCTCTCACTCCCTCTCATTCTCCCACCGGTGCCTTATCCCCTTCTGCTCACCACTGCAGTACCAAACCAGCTGCATCCACCACCACGCCCCCCCGCAAGCGGGTTTCTTGGCGCCTTGATTCCGACCCGTTGCCTGCCACTGCCAGTGCAACGCCGGGGGTGAATGAGTCGCTGGTTAATATATTTGATAAGATCGCTGGTGACGCTGATGTGGCTAGTCAGGGAACAACGGCCCCAGCAGGTGCTGCTGCTGCTGCAACTACTTTCGGTGTCGCTGCAACAGCGGCAGGTGCAGCTGAAACTGCTGCTGCACTCTCCTTGTCCTCCCATTCTTTCCAACTCACTTCCCGAGCCATGACCATGAGAGCTGCGTCCAGGTCGCCCTTGCACGAGGTGACTTTTGAGTCGCCCCAAATGTCTCCCCGTTCCTGCCAGCTCCCAACTCGAGCCATGACAATGAGAGCTGCTTCCAGGCCTTCCTCGAATCTTCCTGCTTCCAAGCTTCCTGTGAAGAGCCTTAGTGCTGACCACAGGCACAGGCGGAATGCGTCGACTCAATAGTCATTTCCTGCTTCCAAGATTCCTGTAAAGAGCCCGAGTGCCGACCAAAGGCACAGGCGGCATGCGTCGTTCTCGGAGTTTGGGGGATTCGCAACAACATAAATTTTGGGAGGCTTCGGTTTTTCCACTGGTGGGGAAGCAACTGGGAAAGCAGGTGGGGAAGCAACTGGGAAAGCAGGTGGGGAAGCAGGTGAGGAAGCAACTGGGAAAGCATGTGGGGAAGCAAGTAGGGAAGCAACAGCAGAAGCAGGCGGGGAAGCAGGTGGGGAAGCAGGTGGGGATGCACAAGGGAGAAGGGGGGGAAGGAAGGTACGGCCTTCATTCGTGGTGGTGCCTAGCCGTAGCTTGCACAGGCGGAACCTAAGCCACGGCTCACCATTTGGATCCCCTACTGCCTCCCCAGCGTATATTGCTTTTTATGTCAATAAAAAAACCTACCCACAGCTTGCACAAGCGGAACTTGAGCCATGGCTCACCATTCGAAACCCCTACTCTCTCCCCAGCGTAGACTGTATTGTATCACTAAATAAGAAAGCTCGATGTTACATAGAGCACCACAAGCAACATGATCTCCACTTGCAGAAATTACATGGTTGCAGAGAAATTGCAGACTATCTATGACGATAACTGGACGCGACATTCTTAAATTGCTAGGAACATACGATGCCCAACCACCACTGAGTGATCCTTCCAAAAACACCATGATACCGTATGAAGTCAAATACAACAGCCACCCTGTAACATCTATAAGTGAACATGCATCCGTAAGTGTACATGCGATGCGATGCGATGCGACCCCTATTTCATACGCACCGTTGGAGCTCGCGTTGCCAAAGAGAAATTTGCTCAACCCCGCGGAATCGCTCTTCGTTTTATTATCGCCACGTGGCCTGCCTATGATCGCGGGAACCACGATCTGTTTTATTGTTACCACACATTTCAAATTTTAGTTAGTTAAGTTTAGTGGGTCACATGTACTGCGCTGCCCGCGGGCAAAAATAAAACCCATTCGGGCCTGGCATGCGTTAGGGAGGCATCAACCCTAAACACCTAGAGGCAAGGTGTTTAGGGTTGATGCACCCCTAACACAAGCCTTTCCTATAGGGGTTTATTTTTGCCCACGAGCAGCGGAGTACATGTGACCCACTAAACTTAACTATATTTTTTCTTGAAAGTTGTGGGAACAATAAAACAGATCGCGGTTCCCGCGATCAAAGGCATGCCACATGGCGATATCAAAACGAAGCGCGATTCCGCGGGATTGAGCAATACTCTCGTTGCCAAAACTGTCGGGCAGTGCACCACACAGGCTTTGTTCGGCAGGCGCATCAGCCCGGATGGGCTACGGCGGATGGATGATGCGGACATTGAGAGATTGAGGCTTGGGATTGGACATTTGAAATGCAAAATGCTATGGGTTTCGCGGAAGCCCGCCAGCGCGTTCAATACACCTTCGCACCAGAAATTTTGCGGGCGAGCACCAGTGATGCGCGCATGATGCACCATCGAGAGGGCGCACCATGCGCGCATCAGTGATGCGCGAAATTGCTAGAAGAAATATTTTCCAGGAACGCGGCGACATGTAAAATCTCGTGGGCCAAAGATGCTGTTCGGCAGCCATCCGCTGACATTGAGCTTCGGCAGCCGTGCGCTTATCTCGAGCCTTGATAGCCTGTCAACAGGTTATCAAAGAAGGTTCCAGGGTGGTCACTTCACTGTAGCCATCCGGGCTGATGCGCCTGCCGAACTGGGCCACAACTCAAGGGATGCCGTGTGTGCATTCGAGGCGCAGCAGCACAAACCTCCAGGTTTCATTCAAGGGTTCAAAACTTTTGTGTTGTGCTTGGCACGGAGCTTTGTCGAAAGTGGTCCTAGGGACCAATCACGCGACCCACCCAAGAACTAGATAGGGAATGTGTGGTTCTGCTGCGCTGTGCCAACAAAAATCATATTCTTCTCAGGCCTTGTTCTGCAGGCGCTTCAGCCTGATGCGCCAGAGGCTCGGCCTGATGCGGACATTGAGACATTGAATGACATTGAGGTTCGGAATTGAGACATTCAATTTCCTAACATTCAATTTCGACTGGCAGAATGTTACAGGTTTCTAGGAAGTTATAGCGCAAATTTTTTAAGGGTGCCAACCAATGAGGGTTTAGGAAAAAACAGATTGACCAATGAGGGTGCTCCGCACCAGCTTATGCGCGCATCATGCGACCTCGAGAGGTTGCATGATGCGCGCATCGGTGATGCGTCAGATTGCTAGGAAAGGAACCTTCTTGGATAGCGATCACATTTCAAATTTCGAGGGCCAAAAAGGCTGTTCTGCAGGCATTCGAGATTCTTTTGCTTCGGCAGCCATGCACTTATCGCGAACCTCGATAACCTGTAGCCATCCGGGCTGATGCGCCTGCAGAACAAAGCCTCAATGAGCTGATTGGTTTGGGATCATTATGGCTGCTATAGGTTCGGAAAACCGTGTGCTCCTAGCCATTTCCGGGCTTGTTGCAGCAAACAAGTGACCAGGTGGGCGAGCAGCTGGTTCGGCCTCCGCTTCGTTTGTTGGTTAGGTGTTGCTGTTATGTTTAGAACGGCTGCCCCAAATCAACCTACCTCTTGCACCCACTCAGAAACCCAAACCTGCACAAACCCACTCACAATGGCGCTGTTCTGCTGGAGTTCTCGTCGCTGCACCGTTGGTGGATTGGTAAACTTCGCAATAACTTCAGGTGCCTTTTTGGTTGACTTGGCAACACATGAAGGTTCAGTTTTAACCGAGGTAAACTTCTAGTTTGAACAGCTCAGCCAAACTCGGATCTGCCCTTTTGAACACGGTCTGGCGAAATGAGAACCGAGGGTAACTCATCTTGGTAAAGGTAACGATACGGATTTTGTTGATCAGTCACATATGAAAGAGTATCGAGCAGCAAGAACGTGAGAAGATTTTCTTGAAATTTGCTCACGGTCAAGTGTTGGGCGTTCAAGCCTACCACGAGCAAAAAAATGGGCTGCTGGTTTCTGCCCCGCACCAGTGGTGCGGAGGTGATTTCACCTCGAGAGGTCGCACCAGTGGTGCGGAGGTGATTTCACCTCGAGAGGTCGCACCAGTGGTGCGGACCATTTGCCTGGAGAGGAAATGGCTTGGAACAAACGGGCGGTTCTGGTACAGTGTCACAAAAGTGCTGTTCTGCAGGTTTTCTCGGTTTTCTTGATGCGCCCAGCTTCGGACAATGCCCAACCTGAACCGACGCACCACTGGTGCGGATGGAAGAATCCAGGAAGGCCATTTTTTGCCAAAAGAACAGCGCCAATGATAGTTACTGTACTGTATGAATGTTCAGGCCAGGTAGTACTTCAGATGGTGAAGCGAAATAACCGCTCCAGATTTCACAACATCGTACTCAACCGTATGTACTGAACCTAAACCGCAAAAGGTGCCAACCACACCCATCCAAGGCCCTGTTTGGCAGGCATCATGGCCATTATGGCCACAATGGGCATTTCTAACGGGCCCCCAAAAAATGCCGCCTGGGCATTTCGAGAAACAGCATCGAAATCGGATTGTAGCTGCAGTGCACATTCGGAAAAAACGGGGTGGAGTGTTTGGTTGGCATTATTTGGGTGTAGAGTGATGGCATCTATCGAAATTTAGAGTTTAGGGGAAGATGGTAAGCAGTTTCCATGATGGTTCGCGCCACCATGTGATTGGCTGGCATATTTGACCAGTCACTTTTGATTGCCCCGAATCACTGATACCCCGCATAGTGCGTGGCCTCGAGGCCGCATGGTGCGGGGGATCAGAAAATGGGCACTTTGCCAGAGAAACTCGTTTGGGTGTAGATTCCAGCGGTTGAAAACGCCTGCAACAAAAGGGGTGTTTGGTTGGCATTCCATTATTGTCAGGTTCGGCATAGTCCGCTTATATCGAGCCTTGATAGCCTTTAACGCGCTTATCAAAGAAGGTTCCAGGGTGGTCGGTTCACTGTAGCCCATGCCCCTCGCCCGTTTTTTTTGCCTGCCAAACTGGGCCCAACACTCCCCCAGCTCGACTTGAAAGCGACACGCATTCGTCAGATCTGACGCAGCGAGTGTGTGATGCATCATCCGCAGACAAAACCTGCATTCACACAATAATCTTCTGGACCAGGCCTCGACAACTCACTTATGCTGTAGCTTAGGTTACTTACAATTACACTCTGCCTCGATCGTACTCTACGCATCTGCCGCCTGCAATTACAGTCAATACCGGTCAGGAAGCCGACTGCAACGGAGAGTTTCCGTTAGCTTATTTTCCACATGGCTCCTCCTCGGGCTGCCACGAGCGTGCGTTACTTTGCGGGACCAACGGCGGCCAGAAGACTCATAACGATAAGATTCGACGTCGGATTGGACAGCCGACGTCGTCGTTTCTCCGACTGCATGCAAATGTTGGAAGGGCCGCCATTAATGCTCGCGGCGTTTTTGCCGCCGACTTGGGATGAATCCGGTCAACCAATACGACGCTGCTATTATATCTCGTTCTCAGAGGCCTCCGAGAATGAGAGGCCGAGCTCGAGGCCTCGTTATTCATCCTAATCTCGCACAGCTGCATCTGATTACTTATTCATCAACTCGCACCATTTCCGCATCGTCATTCTCGCATCACACGAGTAGTTCACTTGACTGCTGCCTCACTGCTGGCTTCCTGCTGCCACTGCTGCCTCACTATCATAACTACTGGTATCTACTACGTCATCATGGCGCCGCTGCGGACCGTCGGATCGTCGTCCACAAGCATTCTCCCGCTAATCAGCGCCGGCCACATGTCCTCCATCTGGCACGACATCCTCCTCATTCCGCCTCCGTCTCCCGCCAATGAATTCTCCTCCCCGCGCCACCCCGGCCCCCCCTTCCCCGCCTGCACCTTCTCCTTCGTCTGCCGTTCCGCCAAGTCCCCGTCTGCCGATTGCGGGCCCGGGAGCCGAAAGCTTCGTCGCCGCGACGACCCCCTTTTCCTGCGGGAGAAGCGGAAGGTCGTGTTGGGCCTAGACGGCAGTCGTATTAAAGTGCAGACCGACTGCGAGTCGGAGACGTTGTCGCCATCGTCGCCATCGCCGTCGCCATCGTCGTCGTCGCTCCTACTGGAGGCGTCGCCGTGGAATCTGGGGATCCTGCCGCAGACGTGCGTGCTCGCGTCGCGATCCATGTCGATGTTCTCCTGCGGGGATGCGAACGATGGTGATAATGAACTCACAGATTCGCTCTTAACGGCGTGCGACAACGTACCTCTTGAGGCGCTGGAGATTGGGTCGCAGGCGCGCGAACCTGGCGACGTGTACGACGTTTTTCCTCTTCTGGCGATGCCCCTGCGACTGCTGGGGGCGGAGCGAAACAGCATGCCGATTTCGTGGAGGATTGTCACCATCGCCGCGGACGACGAGCTGGTGACGAGCGGGCAGCTGAAGCATTCCCTGAGCGATTTATTGGATCGCGTTCGCGAGTGTGCGAACAAATCGGAATTCTTCGGCGAAATCGTGGCACCAGGTAATATGCCAATCTGGTTCATTCGACAATCCCGTCTCCAAGCCATCCCCTTTCACCCTCTCTCTTCGCTCCCCGATCCTGCTGCTCTCCTTCCTACTCCCCTCAGACTACCCTCCCCTCTCTCACACCTCCCCCGCCTGTTAAACATTCGCTCCTGCATTCCACCATCCGTTGCTTCGTTGTCTTGCTCCAAACTCGCTCCCAGCTCCTCCCAGCCAATCTGTCGCTCCTTTCTTCCTCCCTCCCTCTCCTCGCCCTCCCCGTTTTCCTCTCCCTGCGGTTCCTCGTCCCCGCAGGTCGCTCCCCCAATCCCTGCCTCGGCGCCTCCTCCTCTCTTTCATTTGCAGAAGCAGCGGAAAAAGAGGCGCGGGGAAGACCTTTCGGACTCCAAGGCTTGAGAACAAAGAGCCTGGAGAGGGGAGCGTGGGGCGGCGGAAGCGGCGGAAGCGGAGGAGGAGCCCTCATACGAACCTCACGAATCGGCGGTCGAGATTCGTTGATCGGACGCGTGACGTTGGGAGCGGAGGAACCCGAGGAGGAATGGGGCAAGTCTGGAAGAAAATCAGAGGAAGCGGAGGATCAAGCGGAACAAGCAGCCAGGCAAGCCAGGGAAGCAGAGGAGGCGGAGAAAGCAGCGGAGCAAGCGAGGGAAGCGGAGCAAACGGTGCTGTACGCGCACAGCACGTGGCGGATCCTCTGCCCCACTCTGCGCCGCCCCGTTCTCAAACGCCTGGGCAGCTCGCACCTACCCGAGAAACAGCCGCAGCAGCAGGAGCTGCAGGATAGGCTTGTCCGCAGCCCCCCTGTACCTGCATCCCGTTCTGCCTATGCTCTGCCGGATTCCTCATATTCAGCCTCGTCTGAATCAGATTCGTTATCGTCCAAGGCTGCGTGCTCCAGCCGGGCGGTGTATCGAATCCCCCAAAGCAGATCTGATCCGAATCTCAGCGCCACGGACGTCTGGAGGTTAATTGCTCCTCCCGAGAGCTATGGGCTTCCGGGGTTGGTGTCTCCTCGTGGGGTGGGAGGGAATGGAGGAAGGGGAGGAGGAGGAGAAAAAGGAGGAGGTGCACGGGACGGGGGAGGAGTGAAAGGCGGTGGCGCAAGGAGAGAGGAGAGCAAGCAAAAGCACGACTTTGCTTCGATGATTAAGAACAAGGATTGGCTTCACACCCACGACTTTAAAGACTGGCTGCATACTCACGACTTCGCTTCTATGATGAAGCACAAGGACGGGCGGCAAAGTCACGACTTTGCTTCGATGATGAAGCACAGCGACGGTCATCGCAGCTCTGATTCTTCGAGTAAAGTCTGGCTTCACATTCACGACCTTGTTTCAATGATGAAGCACCACAAGGACGGAAATCACAGTCATGACTTGAAGGACTGGCTCAACAGCCACAGAGACAGTCACAAAGACAGTCACACAGACAGTCACGAAGGCAGTCACACAGACAGTCACAGAGACAGTTACGACGCTGCTTCGATGTCGAAGCACAAGGATTGGCTTCACATTCGTGACTTCGTTTCTATGGTGAAGCACCACAAGGACAGGCATCACAGCCCAGAGGCTGCTGGTCGGCTTGCGGTCTCTGCCGCTAAGGTTGCAGCAGCAGCGGCTGCAGCAGCGGCGGAAGCTGTAAAGTCACAAGTTGTCACTACTTTTGAGACGTCTCATGAGGCGGCGGAATCTGTAAAGTCACAAGTTGTTACAGGGGTCACGGCTACAGCTGCTGCTGTTGCTGCCAACCGCCATGCTGTGGCAGAAACTGTAGCAAGAAGTGTAGCAAGGAGTGTGGCACGGCCTTTTACACCCCCAGCTCATTCCTCTCTTCTCAAGCCTGGTCATCCTCCTTCCGGGTTGACCATAAAGTCACACCTCCCTCCTCTATCCCTTCCTCTCACTCCCTCGTCTCGACCCCCTCCTCTCACTCCCTCATCTCGATCCCCTTCTCTCACTCCCCCATCCAATCCCCTTCCAATCACTCCCTCGTCCCAATCCCCTGCTCACACTCCCTCTCGCTCCTCCCCCGCCCCTTCTGCTCGCCGCTCCAGTCTGAAATCAGCCGGTGCTACCCCCACCGCCTCTTCTCCAAAGTTAGTCTCCCCCTCTCCTCGCTGCTCCCTTTTTAAATCAGCCAGCACCTCCGCAGTTCCTCCAAGACCCGTCCCCCCTCCTCTCACTCCCGCTCACTCCTCCACCGCATCCCTATCCACCACTGCTCGCCCCTCCATGCAAAAATCTGCCAGCACCACCGCCTCTTCTCCTAAATTCCCCTCCAGCGTGGAATCACCTGCGCGCCCCTCCATCCTCAAATCTGCCAGCACCACCGGGGTTTCTCCACGACCCGGAAAGCGGGTGTCCTGGAACCTTCACCCAGATAGCCCATCTGCCGCTGCCGGTGCTTTTGAGAATTTTCACAAGTCACCTGGGGGACTTAGATCACCGGGAGGAGGCGGTTACCAGCCCATTTCACGAAGGGCATCGTGGCATGCAGGCACCTATCCTGACATGCTTCCTGATGATGGTCCTGTTGCTGCTGACATTGCTGCTGCTGCTGACATCCCTGCTGCTGCTGCTGCTGCTGCTGCTCGTTTTGTTGCTCCTCCTGCTGCAACGGCTGCTGGTGCTGCTGTAGCTGCTGCTGCACTTTCACTCTCTTCCCGTCCTTCCCCACTCTCTTCCCCACTCACTGCTCGAGCCATCACAATGAATCGTCCTTCCACGCCTTCCTGTAAACTTCCTTCGTCCAATCATCCTGTGAAAATCTCGAGCCCCAACCAGACTCGCAGCCGTTTTGCAACAGCTGAACTTCCGAGCGGGTCCAACGCTACCAGTAACCGAAGCGGGGCAGTAACATTTGACAAAGGTCAAGGGAGAAGAGGAGGCAGAAAGGCACGTCCTGCATTTGTGGTAGTGCCTAGCCGCAGCTTGCACACGCGGAGCTTAATCCAGGTTTAATCCAAAATGCATGATCAGGGCAGGGCTCTGAGCTGAGAGGGAGAAAGGCATGGGATTAGGGTTTGGGGTTTAGGGCATGGGCATTTGTGGTGATGCCGTGTAGCAGTCTGCATGATCAGGGTCCTCCCTGTCTGAATTTTCGCTTCTTATCTTACTGATTGTGGCTTTCATTGTACAGTACAATATCATCTTTTGGTCGTTGCTGGCTCGAGCTACCCTACCGATATTCCGTTCTTGTCGAATATGCATATTATATACCGTACCGTATATGTTTTTTTAGACTGCATTATAGATTTATTTATGTGTTTGCACGGAGAATTATACCAGTTCAGCATTCACCATTATACACTAAGATTGTGCATGCAGGTTTTGTCTGCCACTGGTAATAGATCTCATGATACAAGATAATCCCATTTCCATTCCTAAACCCTAAGAATACCAGCATGAACTGAAACTTACAGAAGCAACTTGGCACTGGCAGGCCACTCTCTAGAGGCTAAGGCTCGTAACACTGCTGCTGCTGTCCATTGTTTTGCCGCCCTTTTCGAGGGCATTGATCTACCTTCAACCCGCACCACCGTCGATCCATCAGCTGCTTTCACCACACAATCCATGCAATAGCTGTAACCTACTATCCTGAAAATAAAAGAAAACAAATATTAGCAATAGGGTAGTAGAAACAGCTTCTTTAATTTCACTCCTTGGTGGATTAACCGATGCATTTAATGACACAAGATATACATACCTGGGAGCGCCAGTGTTCCAACCACCAGGTTGAGAGCTGTCACCACCAGCAGGTCTCGCACCCCCACCATTACCACCACAAGCAGCACCGGTAGAGCCACCAACGCTTGAATCACCACCGTTGAATACACCACCATCAGTGGATCCACCATCCATTGGCACATCCCCAGCAGCAACAGAAGAAGCAACAGCAGCAGCAGCAGCAGCAGCAGCAGCAGAAGCAACAGCAGCAGCAGCAGCAGCAGCAGGAGCAGGAGCAGGAGCAGGAGCAGGAGCAGGAGCAGGAGCAGGAGCAGGAGCAGGAGCAGGAGCAGGAGCAGGAGCAGGAGCAGGAGCAGGAGCAGGAGCAGGAGCAGGAGCAGGAGCAGGAGCAGGAGCAGCAGCAGCAGGAGCAGGAGCAGGAGCAGGAGCAGGAGCAGGAGCAGGAGCAGGAGCAGGAGCAGGAGCAGGAGCAGGAGCAGGAGCAGGAGCAGGAGCAGGAGCAGGAGCAGGAGCAGCAGCAGCAGCAGGAGCAGGAGCAGGAGCAGGAGCAGGAGCAGGAGCAGGAGCAGGAGCAGGAGCAGGAGCAGGAGCAGGAGCAGGAGCAGGAGCAGGAGCAGGAGCAGGAGCAGGAGCAGGAGCAGGAGCAGGAGCAGGAGCAGGAGCAGGAGCAGGAGCAGGAGCAGGAGCAGGAGCAGCAGCAGGAGCAGGAGCAGGAGCAGGAGCAGGAGCAGGAGCAGGAGCAGGAGCAGGAGCAGGAGCAGGAGCAGGAGCAGGAGCAGGAGCAGGAGCAGGAGCAGGAGCAGGAGCAGGAGCAGGAGCAGGAGCAGCAGCAGGAGCAGCAGCAGGAGCAGGAGCAGCAGCAGGAGCAGCAGCAGGAGCAGCAGCAGGAGCAGCAGGAGCAGGAGCAGGAGCAGCAGGAGCAGGACCAGCAGCAGGAGCAGCAGCAGGAGCAGCAGCAGCAGCAGCAGCAGCAGGAGCAGCAGGAGCAGCAGCAGCAGGAGGAGCGGCAGGAGCAGCCGCTGCAAGCGCAGCCGAGGCGCACCCAACATTTGTCCCACCTGGTGCAGATCCATGCCAAATTAGAATAGACCTCTTCCTCGAAGACTTTTGAGACGTCTCAAAGATCCCACCTTGGGCGGATCCACTCCAAACTACAGCAGCCTTGCTCCTTGAAGTTGGACATAACTTTTGAGGCGCCTCAAAAGCCGCTGCAGGCACAGCAGATTCGCAGCTAACAGTAGTCCCACCTTGGGCGGATCTGATCCAAACTAACTTGTTCCTTGAAGTTGGAGATAGCTTCTGAGGCGCCTCAAAAGCCGCTGCAGGCGCAGCAGAGGCGCACCCAACAGTGGTCCCACTTTGGGCGGATCTGATCCAAACTACCTTGCTCCTTGAAGACTTCTGAGACGCCTCAAAAGCCCCACCTTGGGCGGATCCACTCCAAAATATAGTAGCCTGCCACCCCCTTTCCAGACTTCCCACGCTTCCTCTTCTTTCCTCCTGCCTTTTTCTGCCCACCATTACTATCATTATTCTCTCCACTTTTCAAGCTACCTTCAGGCCGAACTTCCTCCATCCCTGCTACACCTTCTCCTCCTCCTGCCTCCTTCCCCACTCCCCCCTCCTTTCCTCCCTCCTCTTCCCCCGCCCCGGCCTTCTCTTCCTGCGTCTCCCATGCAGCCCTCATTCCCCTAAGCACGAGCATTCCCTCCCCCTCCTGGTACAGCTGCCGAAAGCCCTGCACAGTCTGAGGGGGAGGCGAGGAGGAGGGAGAGGGAAGATGGTAAGCTGAGGGCAACAATCCCTCCCCCTCCTGGTACAGCTGCCAAAAGCCCTGCACAGTCTGAGGGGGAGGCGAGGAGAAGAGGCGAGGAAACAGGACGACTTACCTCATGACAGGTACACTATTACAGTCACATATGTTCACACGTATGTTCGTTACAGTACATATGTTCCTTACAGTCACATATGTTCGTTACAGTCACATATGTTCATCACACTCACCTTGGCCCTCCTTGGCACGCCAGAAGCTGCCTCCATCATTAATGCCACGTCATCCACCCCCCATCCCTCCCCCAGCACCCCCCCTCTCCCCCCCCATCACGTTCTCATACTCACATCTGTGAATCACATCACACTGACCTTGGTTCTTCTCAGCACGCTAGCAGCTGCCTCCACCGTTGCTGCAACATCATCCATCCCCCACCCCTCCCCCATCACCACTCCTCTCACCTCCACTTCCACCACCACCCCCTCCTCCCCCTCCCCTCCTCTTTCCCCCACGCCCTTTTCACGCAGCCAATCATCCACGCCCTCTTTCCCCCACGCAGCCAATCCCCCACGCCCTCTTTCCCCCACGCCCTTTTCACGCAGCCCAGCATCCACTCTGTCCTCCCCGCCCTCCCCTCCCTCACCTTCCACATCCCTTCCACACACCACACCCCCGTTTCTTTCCCCACCCCCCTCATCCTTCCACGCCCCTTTTCCTTCTCCCTCCGTTTTCACCCCTTTCCCCCACTCTCTTCCCAACTCCTTCCCCCACCCCTCCCCCCACTGCACCCCCCACTGCTCCCCTCCTCCCCCACTCCCCTGAGCCTTGGGCAGGTAAATGGGGGCGGGGAGGGAGAGGGCACAGCAAAAGAGGAGCAGGGCGGAGGGAGGATGGAGGGAGAGGGGATGCAGCAGAGGGATGGGGGATAGCCATGAAGAAACCACTTGCCACGTCCGGGCGAGAGGGCATGAGGGATGGAGAGGGGGAGGTGAGCGGGGGTTGAGTGCGGTGGGAGCGGTGTTTGGAGGAGTGAAATCGAGGAAAACTGCTGCGGTGAGGGCCTTGATTAGATCAGAGACGTCCTGATGGGGAACGGAGGGAAGGAACGGAGATGGGAGAGAGGAAAGCGGAGAGATAAGAGTATGGATGAAGAAAGATATATACGGAGCGAGGGAGTGAGGACTGCTGCTGTGAGGGCCTTGATTAGAACAGGGACGTCCTGATGGGGAATGGAGGGGAGGAAGGAGGGGGGAGAGGAGGGGAGAAAGGAGGAGAGAAAGGCGGGGAGAGAGGAGGGGAGAGAGGAGGAGAGAGGAGAAAGAAGAGGAGCGGAGAGAGGAGAAGAGAGAGGAGGGGAGAGAGGAGGGGAGAGAGGAGGGGAGAGAGGAGGGGGGAGAGGAGGGGAGAGAGGAGGGGAAATGTGAACAGTGTTGTAGAATGTTGAAGCAAGAGGAATGTGTGTGGGCTATGGGGTATGCAAGAGGAATGCGTGTGGGCTATGGGGTATGCAAGAGGAATGCATAGAAGGGAAGTGGTACAGACAGTGTGGTACAGACCGTCTGTAGGGTTACATGGTTACATCGTCGTACGGGTTGTTACCTGCTGATATGGTTACATGGTTACAAAACGTTTCCTTGGGGAATGGCTTCTGCGCATCATCATAATCCTGCAAATCGCCCACGTCCTCACTTTTCTCCCCACGTCCTCTCCCCACGTCCTCTCCCCACGTCCTCTCCCCACGTCCTCTCCCCACGTCCTCTCCCCACGTCCTCTCCCCACGTCCTCTCCCCACGTCCTCTCCCCACGTCCTCTCCCCACGTCCTCTCCCCACGTCCTCTCCCCACGTCCTCTCCCCACGTCCTCTCCCCACGTCCTCTCCCCACGTCCTCTCCCCACGTCCTCTCCCCACGTCCTCGTCCCACGTCCTCACTTTTCTCCCCACGTCCTCTCCCCACGTCCTCTCCCCACGTCCTCTCCCACGTCCTCTCCCCACGTCCTCTCCCCACGTCCTCTCCCCACGTCCTCTCCCCACGTCCTCTCCCCACGTCCTCTCCCCACGTCCTCTCCCCACGTCCTCTCCCCACGTCCTCTCCCCACGTCCTCTCCCCACGTCCTCTCCCCACGTCCTCTCCCCACGTCCTCTCCCCACGTCCTCTCCCCACGTCCTCTCCCACGTCCTCTCCCCACGTCCTCTCCCCACGTCCTCTCCCCACGTCCTCTCCCCACGTCCTCTCCCCACGTCCTCTCCCCACGTCCTCTCCCCACGTCCTCTCCCCACGTCCTCTCCCCACGTCCTCTCCCCACGTCCTCTCCCCACGTCCTCTCCCCACGTCCTCACCTTTCTCGCATTCTGCCGGCTGTAACAGCATTACCTTGGGGAATGGCTTCTGTAGATCATCATCATCATCCTGCTCCTCATTGCCCATGCCCATGTCCCCAGCACCCACATTTGAGGCGCCTCAAAAGTCGTTACCTTGGGGAACGGCTTCTGCCCATCATCATCGTCTTGCTCATTCCCCATGTCCATGTCCCCAGCACCCACATGCGCCGAGTCAGCTGCACCGGCTTTTGAGGCGCCTCAAAAGTCAAAAGGTTACCTTGGCGGATGGCTTTTGTAGATCATCATCATAATCCTTCTGCTCATTGCCCATGCCCATGTCCATGTCCCCAGCAGCCACATGCGCCGAGTCAGCCCTATCAGCAGCAGCCTTTGCCGCCCGCTGTATCCTGCGCACCAATCGCAGCAGCCCACGGGGCGCCGCCAGCTGGCAGAACCTTTCCGAGAAAATCACCGCCTTGCGCAGGTCTGTCAGCTGGTG